CGCCCCCTCCCCCCTCTCTCCTTATAATAATAACTTTAAACATTTCACAGTTTTATAAGGTGTTTTTATGTCATATCACATTGGATGTTTACCACAATTCTGAGATAATGAGGAAAGACAAGTATCATCTCCATTTTATGGATAAGGAAACAGGTTCAGAGAGGTTAAGTAACTTGACAAAATCCACACCATTAGTGAGTGATAAAGCTCAGCTATGTCACTGGGATTTTCACTTCCTTTTTCTACTACATTCTTCACTCATTCTCGCCCACATACCCCTCACTGAGCCTAGTCGGGTCAGCGGGATTTCACCCCAGCCCTCGAGGGTCTCGCTGTCTAGCTGCTTTCCTCCTCCTCCTCGAGATTTTAAGTTCCTTTAGAGCAGGAACTACATGCCCATTCTTCATCTCTGTGTCCCCTGCAGCAACTAGACAGAGTAAAAGTGGGTGTGCGACAAATACCTACTGAATTGAAGTTTATCATTTACTGGAAAAATTTACTCAAGCACAAGCTCCACTGATAGTGAATTAGTGGTGGGCTCCTAGATGGTGGGGGCTGGACCTTACCAGTCTTTGATTTCTCCAAAACATCTGCTGGCATGGCACCTAGCATACAGTATGCTCAAAATAGAATTTCACTGAATTAATAGTTTGTACTTTCAAAAAGCACCACTGTACCAATTTATTATTCAGTATACTCAGTAATAATGAGACCAGCAATAATACCTAATATTTATTGCTTGTGTAATAAGGACCAGCTCTTTCACATACATGATCACATTCAATCCATACAACAATCTTTAACATAGTTATTTTCATCCCCATCTTAAAGATGAAGAAACTGAGGCTTTGAAAGTATAAATAGCAGGCAAAGGTCACACAGCCAGGATTTGAAGCCAGGTCTAGTCTGACTTTAGGGCTCATGTTTTTACCACTGTACAACACTGCCACCCAGTGGCAGGGTTTCTAAGTCCTGGGCCAGTCACTAGTAAATTTACTCTTTTCCACTCACCAGGTTGCAGGTATAACTGCTGAAATGAATTTTGGAAAGGGCAGTGCCCTATGATCAGATGAGAGAATGTTAATAGAACTCTATTAGTGTTATATGAAAACCAGCTGAAATATCTATACCTTCTTGTGGTATAAACACAAGAAGTAATAAGGGCCAAAACCCTGCATTGCTCTCCCTGCAGTTATGTGCCATTTTAGAAAGTCGTGTCACATCCTCAGACATGAGTTTTCTTGATTCTAAAAGGAGAGGAGTGAACAAGATTGTCTCTGGAGTCCCTTCCCTGGTCAAGAATTCTGTAGGTCAAAGTACATAAAATGCTACCATCTGTTGTCAAAAAGGCACACTACAAGCCTTCTGGGGACTCTAAAACAAGAATGGGTGACAGCATAAGGTCTGTGCTTCATCGCTCATTCACTTATTTCTCATCCATTCATTTATTCCATTGACATTTATCTTGAGCTCTGTTTTCTCGCATTCTGTTTTAAAAAATCCCTAAGAATTATCTCACTAAAGTTTTAAATCACACATGCAACCAAAAGGGTTGTTAAATCTGAACCTCTGAAGCCTGTTTCCCCTCACTCCTTTCCAGGCCCCCTTTCCTCACAAGAAGAGGCTCTTGCCTCCCAGCCTGCAGGCCCAGTGTCTAGAACCAGCCCTGACCAGGGACAACAGCTTTAGCCAACCGGGGGCCTCAGAATTGTCAACCGTGTCTGAGCCTGATCTTGAGTTCTGGCTCATATACCTGTGTTTCTACCTCATTCTCCAAATGTATTCTGTAGATTGAGCAAATAGATTTTATTCTTTTCCCATATGCCCTTCAGCACTGACCCCGAACCCTGATTTTTGCATAGGGCATCAGAGAGGCTTGGGGGCCACCAATGAAACCGGGGTGGACTGGCAGGTAGAGCCATCAGTCTCTCTTTTTAGAGCACAACGTGAGATTTCATTTCTTGAGAAGTTCCATGTATGTTTCCTTTTTAGCTGGAACGCTGGTGTCGCAGGCCCTCTGGGACCTGGGCTCTGCCCATACTTCACAGACTTTTCCCTGCCTTTGCCCTCCAGGACCTGAAGTCCTTCCCCTGAACCTGGACAGTACTGAACTGCTTGTATCCAGTCGCTGTGTCCCCACATGTCCCCACCTGTTGGGCCACTCTCCTGACGCAGACCACTGCTCTCCCAATCACTTTGCTATTGACTCTCGGAAGACGATGTCTAGTCACTGGACCCAACTCCGCATGACCAGCCTCACCTTGGTGGAGAGGGCAGGGTCTTGGTTTCGAGTCCCAACCCCAGGTCTGCCCGTCTGCCTTGGCCCTGCTTACCCCAAGGCTTAAATGTGGCACCCCGGTGCCCTATAAGCTCTGGCCTGGCTCACGTCTCTTTTTTTTTCTTCACTCTGACATTTCTCCGGCTCCATGGGGGCTCCTAGTCTTTATTTTTAAAGTTTGAGTTTAGACCGGCTAATTTAAATTTACTAATTATACCATCTTTTTCCACAAAAAAAAAAGTCAATGAAACAGAGAAGAGCTTACCAAATCTGTTTAAAATCGTGTAAACCAGTATGTTGTTAAGTTGATGACAGTGCCAGTGAACTGAACAATCCGGGCGCTCACATGCGATGATCTACACCTACTTCAAGGACAGTACAGACCCTCACGGTAGACAGCACCGCCTCGGAAGTCCATGAAAACAGAGCACTAAGCATGCAGTAACAGCAACCCTCATCTGTTTTCTATTTTTCTTACAGTTGGTAAACTTTTACAGGAGGCTCAAGAATACGACTACTTCTAAAAGTTACCCACAGAGATTATTCCACAGTAAAAATTCCCCTCCTCTATGTCTACAGCGGGCCCCTGCACTCCCAGCTTCCTTGGTAAATGCATACATTTAATTTAGCCCGTGCTTGCTGGCTGCTCCCCAGGCACCAGACCTGGGCCAGGCTTCCACGTACCTCAGCAAGGCTGCCCCTCAGACAGGAAAACCCACTTCCTTACGTGACTCAGTCGAACCCTTAATGTTGACCAAAGGCCTTAACCCTTAATGTTGACCAAAGGCCTTAACCAGGCCTTAACCTGGTTGGACAGGTTAATTTTTATATAAGAGGGTCCAGGGCCTTTCACAGATACGAAAGGCTGTATCTATAATCTTGGCAGAGAGAGACTAACAAAACTGAGACCAAAGGCAAGCACATGGCTTCTCCCCTTCCTTATGTCACAAGCGAATGCCTTGGCACTCAAAGACCTAAAACAGGAAACATTTGTAAATGCCCAAAAATGTGCTAGAACAACAGGCATGCTAAACATAAAACAAGCTGCATGAGTTATGAAAAACAAGTTGCAATTCTATTAATTATGGGACAGTGTAAACATTCCATGTTTTAATAATTGGAACCTAAATGAAGAGATAAACCATGTGTGATGCCTCCTGAAGCGCTGTCACCTTATACATGAAGACTATGTCTCTTTCCTTTTTATTCCCCATGAAGCACAGCACGGTGCTTTGCGAATGTCACTATTGCCTAATAATGTTTATTTGAATTAAATTTAATTTCCTGTGTTTTAGTTTTCCTGTGCAGAATAACCCAAAGTTCTCTGAAAAATAGTTTAAAGAAGGTGGTGGCCTCTACTTCGTTCGAACTTCCAGAGACCGGTTATGCTGAACACTTACTAAATATTTTAATAAACATGTTGGCATGCCAGCTGATTGCTAACTACAGTAATAACAACATTCAGAATCGTATTTTTAAGAAGTGAAATCTTATAAATAGTATTTCCATAGGCGAGACTGATGAATCCCTAAGCAGGTGTTTATTGGATACTACTATGTGTCCATCCTATCGTTCTCAGGTGGATGTCTTAGTATGTGTGATGCCAGCAGAGCTAGTGTGAATGTCAGAAGTGGCTCATCCCTCTCTGACCTTTCATATTCTACCTCATCTACTGGCAAGGCCAGCCAAGTTACCAATGAAACTATAATCTTTTTGATCTTCATTCTACATATTTGTTTCTCCTTCATTCTCTTTTTCTGCAGCTGTCAAATGCTCCAAGCTGCACATTATTGAGCCAATACTGATGAACTGCTCCAACCCTTGGGGAAATTTCAGCTATGGATCAGCCTGCACCTTCCATTGTCCAGCAGGTCAGCTGCTTAATGGCTCAGTAAAAACAGCATGTCAAGAGAATGGCCAGTGGTCGACTACAATGCCAACCTGCCAAGGTATGTTTTTTTCACATAGTTTAGGAAGTCATGCTAATGTGAAAAATAACAAAACCAGTGTTTTTTTCCTGCATATTTCTGGGAGTGGTCTCACTTTCTGTCACTGGGTTTTCCCTGCATTTAATAAATGTTTCACAATGAATCAAGAAGACTCTCTTTGCCGCATACAGAGCAGAGGGAATTAAAAGCAGTGACTCTGTGTAGACAATCGCCGTCCCTGTTTCAGAGCTCAGATTTGTGAAATGAATCTTCTCATTTCTTCTAATCTGTGGGTAACACGTCTTGAAGTTTCAAAATGTTTTAAACTGGAGGTTATTTCATAACTTATCGCAGAAGAACTTTGTATACCACATACCTCTAAAAATACCATAAATCTTCTTTAATTAAGTGCCATCTGTTTGTAAGGTTTGTTTTATCCATCCTTTCTATTTTTCTTTTCTTTTTAAAAAATGTTTTCTCTACAGCTTGTCATAACTACTTTTTGTTTTATAACTATATCTTTGATTGCAAAAAAAAAAAAATACTCATAGTGTATTTTATTTGCCCAACCTTCCATTTCTTGTCTCTACCATTTAATCGTTTAATTCCTTTTATTATGTCCTTACTCTAACTCCTCTGGAAATCACATGTGATATTTAAGCGTTAGGGATAAAATGATTTTGTGACTTCCGGCTCTTCTCTCATGCCAGGTTGTCAGTGCGGCCAGGATCTTTGGTGACCCTACTTGATCTCACCTTAGAATTCCTGAAAGAATGATGGTCTTTTGCACAACACACTTCTAATTCTGGCACGTGTGTCTGTTTGCTTTGCAGCGGGACCACTGACTGTCCAGGAAGCCCTGACATACTTTGGTGGAGCAGTGGCCTCTCTGACAGGTTTGGCGATGGGCTGGACACTCCTGGCTCTGCTAAGAAAGCGTTTCAAACGAAAAGGTAGACAGGAAAGAGTCTTCTCCTCATTTTCTTCTTTCATGTGATTTGGGATGGGGCAGTGAAACCACACTTCAGCAGTTCACGTTTGAAAATATTTGCATTAGAAGAAAAGAAATGATCTTGAGAACTAACTGCTCATGAGAATCACCTTTACAAAAATACAAAACTTGATAAAATACAGATGCTCATTTAGGGAGATCTGGAGATAGGCCTCGAAACCTGAATTTTTCAACTCCCCTTAGTTATCACTGAAACGAATTAAAACAGTGGTACGCTTCTCTCCTTCATGCTTCCCTCCACCATGCTTTCGTGCATCCGTCATTTCCTGATCAACTGTGTCAGACACTGGCATCCGGAATGGCAGCCCCTCATATCAAGGGGGGTATAATCCAGCATGGGAGACACACAAGCGAAATCAATGCTAATACTGACGTGTAATACTGTATTGGGACAAAAATACAACCTGAGTATTACTGGAACTCAAAATAGAGGTGTCTGCACCAGTCTGATAGGTCAGAAAGAGTCTTTTATGCTTCAATTTGAAGAATAAGAGGGATTTTGCCAAGGGGGGAAAAAAGCAGAAATAGTTCCAGCAGAGAGAATGATGTGTGCAAAGACCTAAAAGGGTGAAACGGCTGGGAAAGTGCCATGTTCAGCGATTCAGTACATCTGAACCAGGAAGGGCTTGTGGGGGAATCAGGACATGAAGCCAGAGGTGCAACGAGTGGCTGCTTTATGAACGACTTGGCATGGAAAGCTGAGAGATGTGTGTGCACCCGTGAACTCTGGAGCTAATGTGGGATTTCAGCAGGGAAGTAACCAAGATGGATGAAGACCCTGTGAGGGAGACTTTGTTTATCAGACTGTTCACCCCAAAGGACTCTGGCCCAGGAACCACTTCCTCAGGGCTGGAACCTCCTTTCCCTGTCTGCCCCAGACGCTTAGCCTGCCCATAAGCTCAGAAACCTCCCTTTCTACACTAATGGGGCTCTTCGTCACTCCTCTTGGAGAGTGACCAGGGCCATCAGAGGAGTCAGGGACGCTGAAATCCAGAACACCGACAGTGGCTCTGTCACAGTTCCTGATGGAGTTCTCGTGGAGTTGAGGAGTTTTGACACCTATTCTTAACTGCTCAGGGCAGAAGCACTTGTTCCCTGCTCTATGCTCTCTCCAGCCACAAAGCCACCATTGCACTAAGGCTGGTTTTCTAAGTGCCCTCATGTGCTCTCCTGTGAGTGGGTGAGTAGGACAATAACCAAGAGTCACACTCTGTTTAAAAGCCCAAAGGCCACGCCAGTCTCTCCGTGCGACATTTGTGGTTGCTTAACTGAATCTAGAAGGCAGAGGCAAGAGCTCCTGAGACCTGTCCCTCGATGTCCATAACCACACAGGAATCACGCTATTCCTGCATTTCTCAAAGTTCCCTCTTTAGTTTTAAGATATTTCTAGGGAACCCTCTGAAACATGACGAGGGACCAGCAGCCACTCATCCTCCAATATCTTTAATCATAAATAAATTCATTTGTGAGGATGGTTAATTTTCCCTTGACCTGTCCCAATATAATTTAAAACTTTCTAGGAGTCTGTGGTCAAATAATAGAAAAATGCTGCCTACTATGTCCCTTTACTAGAAATTCAAAATGCACAATCCTTATCACATTAAAGGCTCAATAATGCCCTATAATAAATATACTTGTTCATATCATTTGACCTAATATTTTAAAACTCTCTTAAGCTAGGAGTCACTTTGATTGACAGGACTGCTGCCATTTTTAAAGTTTCTACTATCAGAGTCTATGGTTTGGATTAAGACAGGAGGCCCCTGATCACGTATGTTCCCAGAGAGGCAAAACATAAGTGTTATGTTGGTATGGATTTGTTTATGCGATTAGCTCGCCCAACTGATGGCTGAGGGAGTGTGACACAGGATGAAACAGTAGGGGACCTCAAGTGCCAAAGAAATGGGTTTCGAGAACCAGTGATCTCAACGACAACCAAAAACTCCCAAAAGGCTGAAGGCAGAGACCAGACGTAGGAGGAGGCTGTTACTGAAAGGGAAAAGAAGGAGGATGAGAGGATTTGGAATTATACACTGTTGAATGTTTCATTGAGCCTTAAACAGGTCCTGCCTCTCAAGGAGAGATTGTTCCCAGTACACCCCTTATAACGAGCCCCGCTGAAAATCAGTCCACCAGCTTCCTCCAGTAATTCCTATCATGGATGACCTTTCTCCATCTCATTTTTTCTTTTGAACCAATCGTTTGTGTCTTCTTGTTTATTTCAGATGATGGGGAAAGCCCTTTGAACCCTCAAAGGTAAGATGAAAACGTTTTGTGATTGAGTGAATTTTTCTATTCTGACTTTTTAATTCACTGTAACATACCAGAATGATTATACATAATGCCCCGTTTTTGCAGCAAAACTTTTGCAGTGTCCCCTTTACTAATTCTGAAAATAGATAATATGTCCTAGCTACGCATAATGTTTTTAAAAATCAATAAGTACCCTACTTATAGTATAAAGGAGAAATAGAAAGGAAAGTGATCTGTAATAGAAATCGAATGCTAGAGCTGGGGCGCCAGCCCAGCGGATGCGGTGAGCCCATCACAGCCCTGCGCCTTGGGGCAGAACCACTGCAAAGGCAACAGCTTAGAAGCTGCCCGAAGGGAATACGGTCGTAGTGACTAAACCGGCATCAGAGGTGTTGCCAACCTGCTTTTTTAAAATGATGAACGACTCTGGTTAAAAGCTGGGAAACCTGTTATAATCTTCCCTCAATTCATGCAGCAGTTGCATTTTAGAAGATGAACAACAACAAAAAACTACCCTTAATATTTATATGTAAAGCAGTGAAGTTCCAGACTCAGAGACTTTTCACCTACATGAATTTTGCGTAGATTTGGTCTAGAGTCGTCTGGAGTGTAGGGCAATTCCTTGCATGCCTTCCAGTTAGGACATTCACCACCCCTGGCCCCGCCCATAAATGTCAAAGGAACTCTGCAGCATTCCGAAAACCAAAATACGCCTGTAGGGGGCGGTACTACTACTCTTTGAAAACTTGCCAGATGATCAAGTAAGTACCAAGGCTGGGAATTTTGTAAGGATTGCCTCCCACCAAGAAGAGGGTGCAGCCCCATAAGGGCACAGCAGGCATCCAGTACTAAAGCATCAGCAGTAACTGCACATGGGTATAAGGCGCAGTGCAAATTTCCCAGAGCTGTTAAGTGGGATCTAGAAAATGTCTTCGGCATGTCTTCTCTCCCTTTCAAAGCAGAATTCGGGGGTGGGTAGTAATCCTTGGTCTCTGGAGGAGCTATGTCCTGGGCTGTGGCCAAGAATTAAGTACTAAATGGCAGGTCATCTTTGTATTTCTGTTCTTTAGCCACCTGGGAACATATGGAGTTTTTACAAATGCTGCATTTGACCCGAGCCCTTAAGGTAAGGTACTTATAAAGATATTTTTAAAGGAAATAGAACGGCAGGGGAAAGGGAGAAGATATGAAGCTTGACTTTTATGAGTTAGATTTTAAGCATGAATTAAAATTTCAAGCCATGAAGGAAATTGTGTTGGCGTAGGGGACAGATGCGGCACTAGAATGACAACAGAAAGTGAGTTCACATGAGGATTTCCATTTCCTCCAGAGTAGAAACATTCTAAGGAGACCTAACCTATTTCAGGATGTTTGACAGTGCCATTAATGGCTGCTAGGCAGTATTGACACTGAGGTTTGCTAACCAGAGGTCATGACTGCTGGAGCTATGTGGCCTGCTGGGAAAACAAAAATAACCTGACACTTTTTCTCTCCCAAAAAGCTCAGTGAGTAGTTGAGTGTCTTAAGAAAAGTGGCCTAGGTGCCAGAACATCTGGAATACAGAAAGAAATTATACTGCGCCTCAAGGGACGGGTATGATGAGAGCCTTCTCTCTTTTGTTTTTTTAAGGGAATATAATCATTTCATTTTGGCTCATTTGCAGAGACCTGTCCTGCTCTGGGTCACCTCACGCAACTTCACGGATTCTATTGTTGAATATCAGGCTTCCTGCTAGACTTGACTTTAACTGGAGCACATTTGCTGCAGTTTCATGGCAATACTTGTGAATAAAAGGAATTTCCTTTAGATTAGATCTGAACCAGGGCAGAAGGATCACGCCACAAGACCCAACTCCCCACCCACCATCCCTTCCTGTTCCGCCTCTCCTCTGCCTCCAACACAAGCCTCAGCAGCCAGGAGCGAACATTTCTGCGGTGGTCTGTGGGCTCTGCCCTGGCTGTCACTTGAAATACTAATTAGCCAGAGACTGGGACGTCTGACTCACTAGAAGACCAGACTGAGAAGAAATAAAAATGCCTCTTTGTTTTTGGACTGGAGACAGACGTCCACTACTTTGTGGGAAGGCAGGCTGTGTCTCTGACTTGAGGGAATTTCTGTAAGATCTCCAGGGTCTCCAGTGCTGCTGTTTATGAAGCCTCTTAGACCTCTGTTGTGGAAGCTTCCAGAGAGGCCACTGGATGGCACTGAGGCTGCAGAAGACCAAAGATCAAGACATGTCTCTGCAGATATTCCCTCCACAGTCACTCTCCCCCAAAGAACTCCAAGACCAGTATTCAAATGTGTAATTAAAAGGATCGCCCCCAAATGGCATGTTGTACTACCTGATGTTTGATTTAATCGGGTCTGCATCCATCCCTGGGTTTACAGCCATGGAATGCACCATCGCTACTGTCCCAATTACAGCTCTGCCTTGCCACCAGTCAGCAAATGCATACTGTAGCACTTTCCCACAGGAGAAAACCAGAGAGCCAGAGAGTCTTTATCACCTGGATATTCTCCAGGGAAGAACAGATGTGTTTTACATATTCTTTAAATCACATGTTTCAGAAATAGGTTGTTGAAAGCTCCACAGTAGTTATCTGGAACTAATGCAAAAATAGAGAACCAAACAATATAGCTGTCTTGTCTCTGAAATGTTAGGCAATAAATGTGTCACACAGACTGAATGACACATAGGTAAACATGCAAATAAAAATGGTGAAACAGTCTAACTAAAGGTCACAAGAGTTTTGCAAGAATTTGGTAGTAACCTTGGGATTTAGGGACACAGCGCTTTTAAAAGGTTTCTCTGGAATACTGTCTCTAGCATCTCGGACTGCCGACTCCTAGGCTGGGCACTACAGGACGATGAGTATCAGCCCCGTCTCCTGAGTCAGAATCTGCATTTGGTAAAAGCTCCCCAGGGTATTCGTATGGTTTACCAGCCTTGCGAACCCCTGATACCATCGATCCAGAGGAGCACAGTGCTGTCCTGCTCCTGAACAGCTCATATCAAGCTGGGGACATGAGGGACCCCCGCCCAAAGTAATAGAGGGTAATAGACGTGAGTATATCATTTGAACAGTGTTAGAGGAGGTTACAAAATGGAAAAGTCCATATGAGCCCAGATCCAGGAAATGGGTAGAACTCTGACTGGACTTTAAGGTGTGGGCAGCAACGAGGAAGAGAGTGGGCATTCTAACATTTTGGAATAATACCAGCAAAGGCACAAAGATAAGATTGTGTATAGGAGGAAGGAAGCTGGAGAGGAGTCTCACATCACTGTGACCTCATGGAGGTGCCAGATTACAATTTATTTGAGACAAATCCTAAAACAGAAACTTGGAGGCACGTACATTGAGGCCCCAGGACGAGTGATCATGATGCTTCAGACAAAATAATTCTCAGATTCTCTATCAATAGCAAAACAAGATCTTAAGGCAGTGTGCAACAGTCAGGTCCTCCACGAAACGTAAGGGGCCCTGGAGGCAGGACAAACAATCATAGAAACAAACACCACCAGCTCAGAGTTTTCAAGCTGCTGGGAATTATACACTTTAAAGTATTATTTTATCTTCCCAACAACCCTACCAAGGAAAACTGCAGCATCCCTATTGTGCAGATGGCAAAACTGAGCTCCAGAGAGGCTGAGTCCCTCACCCAGGACGACACAGCTGTGAGTGGGATTGAAACCTGGTCCGCTGAGTCTCTCAGCCACACTCTCTAAGCCCCCTGCTCTGTTGCTGCCGCGCCTGGCCACCGGCCCTTACCAAGACACAACTGCGCATGGGCAGCAGTCCAGGCTGACAGGCCCGGGTCCTGTGCTCATCCCCTTGCGTCCCCACTACCCGAAAACACAGTATTTCTGTGCCCAGTAACAGCGTACAACGCCCTGTCCCTCAGCTCAGGAGAGCGGTGGGTCTCAGAAGGTCTTGGGTCTCACTGCACTGGGAATTGCGGAGGGTCTGGCAAGTGTGACTTTGTCCCAGGCGGTTTTTAGGGAGGGTGGCGAGGGGCGACTGCCCCTTGGCTTAGCAGGTAGAAGGACAGGGACACAGTTTCCCCGTGGTGTCTGACTCCTCGGGCACCGCCCACCTGTCAGAGCCTCGGTGCTCTGCCCTTTCTTCACCTGCAGTAAAAGAGCCACTTGCCAGCTTCCTCTTCCAAACACCTGTTGTCACTTGGGGCAGTGACCGAGCCAACCCAAAGCCTGGAAAGGCTCTGGAGGCGGGGACCGCCCGAGGCTGCTGCAGCGGCAGTGCCTGGGGAAGCCACAGGGAAGGAGAACACTGCCACCCTCAGCCTCCAGGAGCTCACAGCAGCTGGGACAACGGACCAAGGGTGCGGGTGCGATCCGCAACTGAGGGGACCCCTACCCAGGTCCTGGGGTGGAGGTGGCGGGCAGGCGCTGGAAAGGAACCATGTTCCCAGGCTGCCCTCGCCTCTGGATCCTGGTGGTCCTGAGCTCCAGCTGGGCGGGCTCGGGGAGCCCCGGGGCCGAAGCAGCAAGGATACGGCAGTTTTACGTAGCCGCCCAGGGCATCAGCTGGAACTACCGCCCTGAGCCCACAAACCAGAGGTAAGGCAGGTGCGGCACCCTGCGGGCTTCTCCAAGGAGCGCACACCATTCCTTTTGGAAAGCGTTCCCTTTGCAATGCCATGGCATTGTTTTTAACTTCAGCTAAGTAAATACAATTAATAGAAAACGATAATAAATGAAATAAACTTGGTAGATGCTAATTTTGCCTACATTAATGCAGTTTATCATTCTGAAAATATAGAAAATACTCTGATTGGTCAGATGCTGCTTTCAAGAATTTGTTAACACAGTTTTGTTAGTATGGTTGATTGTTGGTTTAATATATCGATTGATTCAAAAGCACCAGGCACACACTCCCTCATTAGCCCTTCTGCAAACTCCTGTTCGAGATCTTTAGTAGTCTACTATTTTCATGAAACTTCTAAGTTACATATTATTTATCCCATTTTGTACCTAACTTCGTCTTCTAAACCTAAAGATATACACCTTGTACTTTATTATAAGCAGATTATTCAATAACGATTGCCATCATTTTGTTGTTTTCTCATAGAGGACTTTCAAAACGTCATTATCCATAAAAATGTAACATTTTTGTTCTTCCACCTTTTTCTGCTTCACGTGACTCTCCATCCTTCTTCCATTCTTGATCACTCCCTGGGCTACGGTCTGTCGTGGCTATTTTGGTCAGGTCACTATTAAAAGGCGTATGTAACTGGGAGGAGGTTTAAATAATAAAATTCTTTCTTTGAGGGGTCAACTATTTTCCCTAATTGAAAGGCTAAAACTAAGCCTTCTCGGAAATTAGACAAATTATAGGATCTACTCAATATTTTCAGTTGGTTACATTTTTACTAGTTTTAAGGGTAAACCTCTTAATGTGACTCAATTTTTTAAAAACTTAACATTGCACTTTAAATGATTGTGAAAGATGTGTTCCTCTTTTACAATTACAAAGCGATCTGCCAAGAAATACTGCAATATTGTGACAGCCTTTTAGTGTATAACATTAAACCTTTTAAAATTTTCTTTGTAACTGAGTTATTTTAGAGAGCATTACATGCTTTCTTGGTCTTGTAATAATAAGAAATCCCTCTTTAAATAAGTCATTTTAAATATTGCTTCTCAAGGTGATAACCTAGGTCACACCCACAGTTAGGGAACTGCCATTAACTAAAACCCCAAGGAAAACAAAAGTCTTTCCAACACTAATCTTCCCCACTAACTTGGTTGCTGGCTTCCCTGTGGCCCGCCTGCTTCTGCTGGGAAGTTTGGTCTTTCCTCCACGGTTAACGCTGAAAATAACACCCAGAAAACTGGAGGCAGAACCACCTAAGTCAAAAGCCTGATTCATACGGCGAGTCCATAGGGAGCCATGACTGGTCATCCTATCCTTTCGTTGTGTGTCTCAGTTTCCAGAATTCGGGGAAGAGTCATTCCTCTGGCATCGATTATTGAGTCAAAACCACAGAATGGTAACCCAGACCAACTCTCAATATTTTTAGGCCTCAAACAATGTCATTTCTCTCTAGCATTTTTGTATGAAAAATCTAACCGGTATATCTGGCTGCTTAAAGTAAGAACTTGTTCCAAATTTGTCCTACACCTAGAGTTAAACAAAGTCACTATAAAAAAAAAATCAACATGACATTTCCATCCTTTGCCGAAGTGTATTTTAGCACAAAGCAAAGGTCTTTCCTCTTATTATATCTACTGTTAGTAGGACAATGCCTTTTAGAGCTGAAGTACCTATTATTCTTGCTCCAGGTCCAAAGTAATGTTTTTGAATATTTCCCTAGAGAAACTTATTCGATCACATGTGTGTAGTAATAGATGTTGAAAAAATACATAGTTATTTTTCCTTATGGGTTCTAGCATGATGATTTTTACCACGAATAAGTCATTTTTAAGGAATCCTCCCAAATAGAAAATTTATCATGCATATTGTTTGAATTTGTATCATCTTTAACTTCCTGTTCAGACAGATTATTTTCCAATAGCAATTCAACTGTTCAAAATCAAAACAGCTATACCTCAGCATGTACATACAATATATACACCGGAATATGTTAGGAAACACACCTCTATTAAAATTACTCCACATAAAAGACTGACTTTTCTTAGTAAAGCTTTTACATCATTATCTACATTCCTGTGTTTAAAGGTCTGAAGTAGGAGAAGAGGGGTAATTTTCAATTTCACTTTGAAAATAAATAAATAAATGAATGAATGAACGAAAATGGAATCCCTCATTAGGGGCGAAAACAACACATAGAAGCCTACGCTCTAAGAACTCTAAGAGGCTGTTTAATCTCTTTTCGACATCCATGCTTTAGCCTTCTACTTTTCCCGCACCCTAAATGCCAGTACCCCTACCCTACCACGCAATCATCTAGTTTCTGGACCCGAATGCTTCCATGACTGAGAAGCCACCACTCTCGTCACTAGCTATTCCGAAAGTACTTCCCTGTGCTTTCTTTCTGCCCCAAACATCAACACAGTTCTTGTATCTTATGTTTAAAAAATTATGAGAATTACCTTAGTTACAGATTTTTTCTGCCTTCTGAAGACTGAACACCAACTTTTATTACACTTTTAAAATATACCAGCTAACACCGGATTGAATAATTTACAACATGTCAGCTCTAAGCTCTTTGCAGGTTTTAACTTACTGAATACCTGTAACAATTCTGTGAGAGAGACCTCACTATTATTCCCATCTCACAATTGTAAAGATTGAGGCGCAAATGGATTTCGTAAGCTTTTCCAGATCAGACAGTCAGTAAGGGGTAGAGAGGGGACTGACACGCATACACTCGGAATCCCCCAGTTGTCCCCCAGCCACTGTGCTCTACAGAAGTCGTGGAGATTGGGCTTGGTATCCCGCTCTTGTTATGCCCTGATGATGGCTGGGCCCCTCTCTCTGGATTCAGAAGTTTAACAAAGTCATCTGGACAACAGTTTTAGGCATTTGTAAGAAACGTCCCCCACTTCCCTACCCTGTTACCTTTATCTTTGAGTTTAGACAAGGATGGGAATGATGTGCCCATCTTTAGAGACACAGAAGAAAGAGCCTGGAAATGACCCCCGTTCACTCCCTGCTCCCTCTCTGAATCCTTTACCATGAATACAATGGTTTCACCTTTTGAATCTTGGCTCTGCCATTTATCAACTATCTCTCCTTGAGCAAGTTACCTAAACTTTCTGAGACTTAGTTTTTCCATTTGCTTGTTTCCAAAATGAATACACGGGCTTTTACTCCATTAGTCATATTCAACTTCTCAACTAGAAATGGGGTCCACCAAATCCACCGAATTGACAGTTCTTTACAACGTTCCCCTGTAGCTTAACACTGTATTCGATTGATCAGTTGAAAAATAGCCCACATATTTATTCATAAAAGATTTGATCACATTTTTAATCGCTTAAAATCTAAACCTAAAGTTTGAGTTCACACTATGATCTTGGGTTCTTTTTTAGGAAATTGATTCTGAGTAACAGGATTAGTTAGGGCAGACTTAACTTGTGCAAGAATGGTTATCACGACAGAATATTCTTGATGAGGCCAACAACTATTTTGATAACTTCATATTTATAAAACCATGGGATACAATTTAAAATACTGTTAGTTGTAGTATAAGACTGAGGACCTGAGAGGTCTTTTTTTGTAATTGAGAAGTAGATGTCATATATGCCTTTCAAATTAATTTTTGTATTTTATTTCCAGTTTGGATCCTTTTGCAACTTCCTTTAAGAAAATTGTCTACAGAGAGTATGAAGCATATTTTCAAAAAGAAAAACCACGATCCAGGACTTCAGGTAAGCTTGAAATATATTTTTTAACAAAGATAAATATTGATAATTTGCTATTCGCATACATCTAATATCTATTTAGTGACATTTCATAGAAATGTACGTTGTTATCATTTTTAACCAGTACAGGCTACATCATTTGTGGAAAATGAAAATGAGGGACCCCTTATTCATATTATTGAGACTTTCAAAACAGTGACAGCAAAGCATTAAGCCAAGCACGGGGCCCAGTCAATGGCACAGGTCACATGCCCATGAAGCTGGCTGTTTTTAGTCATGATTGAAAAGCTAAAAAGAATTTCTAAGTGTTTGAATTTTTATTCATTCATCTAACAAGCTATTATTGAGTTCATGCTACAGGCGGGGCCTTGAACTAGGTGCTGCAGACGCCACAGCAGATCAGACATTCTCATGGCCTGCCTTCTTGGAGCTCATGGTCAGGCTGATGAGTGCGCATGAGCCTCAACAAATGCTCTGTTGCTTCTGTCTGGCTCCCTAGACCCATTCAAAGGAGCTGTGTATGGTTGATTCTTTTGCATCTATCTTTCCCATCTCTTCTCTTGTTTCGTTTGTTTGTTTGTTTGTTTGTTTTAGTATGATACACACAATAGCTATCACTTGTAAAGAAAAATCTTTCTCATCATCTCTTCTTTAATTAAGGAAAGTAGGTTGAATGAGTTTCTGGGATCTTAAATATGGTACCATATGTCACAGGAATGATAGAGGGAGACCATTAAGAGAGAATTTCCTCCAATTGGTCCCATTGTCAATAATTCACTCATCCTTCCCCCAAACCAGGTGAAGACCTGATACCTGTCCCAGACTCTTTCTTCTACCTCTCTATTCAGCCCATTCTTTCCTGTCTCCTCTGATTTCCCTTTCTTTTTGATCTTTCTTTGATTGGAGCCTTCCCTCCAGTCAAAAATCATCAACAATAAAACAAAACACAACTGTGTTCCGGTTGACCTCTATCTAGGAAAAAACTGCCCTTGACTCTGTTTGCCTTTCCCTTTCCTTCCCTACCCATTTCCACGTGAACGGTCCACTTCATTCCCTCCCAAATCATTCCCTCTCCTTACTTCCCTCCCTGATCCGCTCTGACATGAGTCCACTGAGCTTCCTCTCTAACAAGGACACCTGTGACTGCTTCGATGCCACAGCCAGTGGTTTCTTTTCCAACTTTTCCACAGCCAGGTCTTTCCCAACTCGGCACGTTTAATGCTCCCCTTCTTGAAACCCTCTCTTCACCTGCTTTCACTGGCACTGCTTCCCCTGGCAAACAGAAGTGGAATGGCAGTCAGTGGAAGATAAGGAAGTAGAAGCAGGAGAAACTTATAGATAACTCTTTCCTGAAGCTTGGCTCCAAATGGGAGGAGAGACAAAGTAGTTCTGGAAGGGAATAAGAGGTTCAAGGATATTTTGAAGTTTTTACAGAAAAAGAATACAGTGACTTAAAATATCTAAGGGAAGGATCCAGTAGGAAAGGAGAGGGTCAAAACACCTGAGAGAGAATTGACGGAGCCATAGTCGGAGGAAACGGGAAGTGATGGGATTCAAACCCAACATAGAAGAGACTCTACCTTCCTCAGGCTGGGCAAGGGGATGAGGCAGTGAGCTTACTAGTAAAATTAAGTTTACCAGTGTGGGCAGGAAGTTAAAAGATCCACCATCCTCTATCACAGTCTATTCATTTTCATAGCTCCTGCTCCAAGCTTAGTACATACAATTGGTACTTAAGAACTATTAAATTAAATTAAATCGTAGGTGGGAAAAGGGAAAATGAGCCAAGAAACATATTCATCAGGCCTGGGAAAGAGGAATTTGGCCCATATTTAGAGCCCTGCCTTTGCGGCTCTTGCCAAGTTAACTGAATTTGAATGTCTGCTGTGTAAGCCATTGTGCTGAGTGCCATAGTGACAGAAAGGACCAGCGCCAGGCTAGAGACGGTCTTTTAAGCAACAAGGAGGCAGTGGTAGTTTTTGAAGAGTGTACTGTGATCAAAATCCTTGGAGATGACTAACTTTTGTAGTGATTTCCTGATTCGACCTCATTAATTAGAAGTAAACTTTGACAATTGATTTATGTTTATGCTCTGTGCACTCAAAACATTATCTTTTGGTCAACCCCTGTGTATCTCATAAGAGAGTTGTTTTATATGAACTCAGAGGCTTTTTACATACATTTTTACGCAGCCTCTTCCTAAACTCCCGAAGTTGCTTAAGTATGAATCACTGGGGGGCAGGGATGATTTTGTAATCATCTTTGTGTCCTGAGAGTAGATGACACAAGGTGGAAAATCTAGTGGAAAGGAAAAGCCTCAGTGTTGAATGGGAGCACTGCCACTGAATGTGGCCTTCCGCATCCCCGGCCTCGTTCTGTGTCACTGTACCGTCGTCCCCTATTTCCCGCTCCACTCATCTGGTGTACACGATTCTAGCTGAGCCTGAGCAAGCCATGTGCCCACTTGTGCAGCGTGAGCCAGGCCTTCCCGTGGCTGCAATGGAGACAAAGCTGCAGGACTGGAGGTCTGAAGACAGATGCCCATCCAGCAAGGCTTGTGGATGTGTGGACAGGTAGAATTCTTGAAAATGCATTTTCAAGAATTCTGTCTTGGGCTTTAAAATGGTTTGTTTTGAGTGTCTGCATCTTTTTAAGGAAGATTATAAAATGTTTGTCCCTGAAGGGGTTTTAAAAAGCTGCAACAATGGGCTGCCCCGTTTTCTGTAATGCATTATTCACCTGAGCAGGGGGACTGGATTAGCGGGCCTCCTGTAGTCCTTTCCAACTCTAAAAGCGCATGAAATTGGGGACATGCTGTGCTACCCTCCTGGTAACCCAGGATAGGCCACTCCTTCCCCCAATTTGGCTCTGAGCACTGCGGAGAGAGGAGGAAAGGTCTTAGGACACCTGGCTCTTGGAGAAGCTGAACAGCAGCTCAAACATTCAGCCATGTGTTTGCCTTCATGCATGATGGCATTTGATTTGCATTTATGAAAACACTCCTTTGTTATGCTTTAATTCTGAAGAAATGGAAAGGGAGGCTAAATAAATACCCCAAACCATTCACTGAAGTAAGAAGTCTTATTAGGTTAAATAACTGGGAAGACTTATTTCGGGCATCTGGCATTTGCAGCCATGTGATGCCAACAAACAAATCAACGAAGCAAGATGAACATGGCAGCAAAGTGCAGAGCACAATGTGACAGCAGAGTCGGCACCCTATTGGGCTCCTGGGCATCTGGGCAGGTGGGAGTGGCCAGTGAGAGAGAAGACCGAGCATAGCAGCCAGAAGAGAGGGGTCAGCCAGGGGAGTCAGATGTGGCCAGGCGTCACAAATGGTGTAGACATTGGGGCCATTCCAGGAAAGTGGGCGTCTGACCTGCCCTGTGGAAGGCGGTAGAGAAAGCTTTGGTTCAGGAGTCCACAGACCTGAATTCCAGTCCCGGCAATGCCACCACCACTCACCAACTGACCTTGGGCAAGCCACCTTCCCTGCTCCCTTCAGGGGCTCTATGAAGCCATCGATTTCACTCACCATTGCAATTCTGTCCCCTAGGATAATGTGGGAACCCAATTAATATTCATTGAATGAATAAATGAATGACTAAGAGGTAACGGGGAGCAATATAAAGAGGTGGTTAGAAGCTCAGGGTCTAGAGTCAGACTGACTGAAGTTTCAGTCATGGGTCTGCCTCTAATTCACTGTAGAATATTGGGCGAGATATTTAAATGCTCCGAGGCCCAGTTTCCTCATGTATAAAATGGGGATCTTAATATCTACCTTAAAGATTTGTTGGGAGGATCAACATAAGGACTCACAGTGCTCAAACATATTAAGGAGTCAATAAGTGGGAGGCCTCTTATAATTATCATCACCACTGCCAACTACCTCGTGAGCTTGAGGACAAGAACTGTGTCTTATTTACCCATGTGGCCCCAGAACCTAGCACAGCGCCTGGCATGTAGTAAGTGAAATCTTAGTCTTAGTTTCTGTACCCCGAACCCACTGTCCCCACTGTGTTTCCCACTGAAGTAACTGATAACGTTATTTACCCAGTTGCTCACATCTAAAACCTTGGGGCCATCCTTGACTAGTGTCTCTCACATGCCACGTCCGACCTGTCAGCAGCCCCTGCAGGCTCTGCCTTCGGGACATCCAGAATCCTACCTCTCCTCGCCACTTCGCCAACCCAGTGTACTGCTCTTTTCTATGCCACCTGGTCTCCTGCTTCCACTCCTGTCACCCCACAGCAGCCAGGATGAACTTTTCGTCTTTTTTTTTTTTAGGATGAACTTTTAAAACATGTCTCTCTGCTGCACAAAGTCTTCATGATTTCCTGTGTCACTGAGAAGACCCAAAGTCCCTCCTGTGGCCCAGAGGGCCTCGTGCCACCTGCCCCTACCCCGAGCCTTCTCACTCTGCCCAGCCATGTTTCTTAGTGTCCTTTTGAAGCATCCAGCTCACTCTTGCCTCAGGGACTCTGAACTTGCCTCTGGGCCAGAGAACTGTGTGATTCGCCCCTTACTTCGCTGGAGGACCAGAAGTCTCCCACCTCAGAGAGATCTCAAGCAGCCAGTTGCCCACCCTCGCATCACCCTGCACAAGTGATCACAAACATCTTTCTTTTCTTGACCAAAGATGGCGGCAGTCTCTAAGGAATGACACTGGGTCCCAATGGGGTGGACATGGTCAGAACTGTTTCTCCTACTCTCTTGACTTGCTTTCGGTCCAAGGCAAGTTTTTCTACCCTCCTGTCTTTATCTGATTGCATGTAATATAGAGGTAATGAGCTGGCAAAGCCTTCTAGATTAAGATGAGCATGTCAACCTCGGAGCCTGGAGGGATGACAGCAATCCGTCACGGGCTTTCTGCACCGTCAGTAGGTCTGTCAGTCGGTTTCTGCATAGCAGCTGTGTCTTTGGTAATCCTGAACACAGACATATTTTAAATTCTTGCTTCCATAGGACTCCTTGGGCCCACTTTATATGCCGAAGTTGGAGACACCATGAGAGTTCACTTTAAGAATAAGGCAGGCAAGCCCTTAAGCATCCATCCTCAAGGGGTTACGTACAGCAAAGCCTCAGAAGGTAAGAGGAACCTCATATCCCTTTGACAACGAAAAAGGTACAACTCTACAGCACCATTGTTAACATGTCAAAGAACTCTCCTTTCCTGCAACTGGTAATTATGAAAATTGTTGTCTTTGTAAGTTTCCGAGAGGAAAATGAAAAAGTTCTAGAGTTATCTAGACCTCAGTTTTTCGCTAGGTTCCTGTTCTTTAACTGTTGGATGGGCAAGTTACCTAATCTTTCTGAATTCCAATACGTTCATCTGTAAAATAAGAATAATCACAGATACGTTGCAAGATGGTTTGAGGCAGGGGTCCACAGACTTTTCTTGGAAGGGCTGGAGAGTAAATATTTTTTGCTTTGTGGGCCATGAGATCTCTGTTACAGCTACTCAACTCCACCTCTTAGTACGAAATCAGCCATAGGCAATACACGTGTAAGTGAATGAGCATGGCTGCATCCCAATAAAACTTTACTTACAAAGAAAAGGGAGCTAGCTGGGCTTGGCTCATGAGCCACAGTTTGAAATAGTGACAGACAGAAGGAAAGCCAGGCATATAGATAACACTAAATAAGTAGTATTTTGTGGTGGTGGTGGTGGCGGCAGCAGTAGTTTTCAAATTTTGGACATCATGAAGTGCTTAAGAACATAAGCTTTGAAAGCAGAGATGGGTTCAAATTCCAGCTGTATCATTTCTGATTCTATGACCTTAGCATCCCTGAGCCACAGTTTTCTCATCTATAAAATGAGAATGGTTATACGCACTCCATAACATTGCTTTGGGAATAAATAAAATCATTTAGGTAGTGTCCTAAGCATGGTTCCTGGAACCTAGTAAGCCCTCAATAGATGACGGCGATGATGATAATGATGACAATGACAGTGAAGATCATGAACATGATGGTGATGAAAGTGACCACACCGGCCACAGGCTAGTAAGCATCTGTTGTTGATACTGTTCTGATTATTTCCATTATGCTGGTGTCCAGACCACCAGAAGCAGAGCAGAGTTCTGTTAGGAACTGATATAAGAAAATTGTATCCGTATTGTAACAGATGTTAGTATAATAACATTTAAAAATAACTTTAGACCTTTCATGATTCACAAGTCTTTCCCCCATGTGTTCCAGCCGCCGCACCTTTGCAGAGAGTGACTGAGTAGGAGAGTGTTTCTGGAGCTAGAAATCCTGAGCCTGGTGCAAATCCTGGCTCAGATACTTATTAATTGTGTGACTTTTGGAAAGTTACTTAACCTCTCTGTGCCTCAGCTTCCTCATCTGCAAAATGGGAATGATAATACATACCTCGTATTGGTTTGTTATCATGAAGTCTTAGACAATGCTGGCACTATAAGTATTTGATCAATATTAGCTATAATGATAAAAGTGATTCTTCCATCAAAATGTGTTCAAATTATAATGTTATATGTCAATTACATCTCAATTAAAAATTTGAATATTCAAATAATTTAATATTTGGCTAACAATTTATGAATTAGAAAGTGACTTTTACATGTATTATTTCCTGTGTAAATGACTGTCAAACTCATTCTGACTACGGTAAAAGGACTGAGACTAGGTCAACGAACTACCCTCCTCAGGAGTATTTGCCTTAGCGCCTAAACTTTGCCTTGAGGAAAAGCAATGAGGCATTAACTGTGAAACTGCAGGCATCTTAAGGAGGCCATCTGGCCAGACTCTGGGTGAGGTGGCATGCACAGGGGTCTCTCGTACGTTCCTAAAATCGTACAGTGACGTAGAGCAAGCACTTCACCTACGATGAGCCTTCCAGATGACTGTGTCAGGACCTCAGCACCGTAATGCCAGATAGAAGAACCCTCAGAATGTCCCATGCAGGTTCCATTCCAAATGTGGGAGGTGAGTGCCATGGACTTTGCATTCAAGCAGGGCCGTTTGCACAGGAAGTGAACCTTGCCACACTGTCCCCCTCCCTTTACTGCTGACCTGGCCCTACGCTCCCCCGCAGCCAGCAGTCAGCCATGACCAGAGTCCTTCACAGTGCTCCCACCACTTCCACTGGCCCCTGGTTGCATGAATCTGAGAAAGGTAATTACAGATTGGTGGGGACAAAGTCTGTCTTGGAAATGAGATGCAAATCTAGTAAAGAGAGAGAGTATTCTTCATGGCCAAGGACAAGCCTCTGTTCATTTTACTGTGTCTTCTGCGTTACAATAAAACATCTCCTTCGTGTCTGGCTCACCTTCACCTCGAGCCTCCCTCGGTGGTTTGAATGATATTTTTAGGAGTGGAGATTAACTACATGCTGAGCCAGCTACATGAGAATCCAGACTTCTTTACCTCAGGGGGAGATATTTGAGAGATAGATGCCAGGAGGTTAAGACAATAATAGGCCTGAGAGATAACTCAGTGCTTGCCTGTGCGGCTGCTGGATCTAAGAAGCAGAGGAGCCAACCTAGACAGCAATCTCCTTATCTGGGACTTGATCCTCGAGCCCCACCAGGGACCTGGAGACCTGCTCTCATCAGCCAAAAGGAAAAGATAGCTGTGGAAGGAATGCTGGCTTTAGAGACAGAATGTCCTCGATTTGAATCCTAAATAAACTTTGGCAATTTTCTTTACCACTAACCTTCAGTTTTTTATCTATAAAATGGGGACAGCAATGCCTCCTATCTAAGGTTATCACCCGGATCAGTCACAATATAAGGAAAGTTCTAGGCACATAAATGGCACACAATAATGATAGCTGTTGTTGCCGGGGTTATTTCGTGGTTATTTATAGTGCAGGCATTACATTTTGTGCCCAGAAGCCTCGACTGAATGAAGGCCTTGGCTTTGGATAGTGCTCATCACTATATGTCTACTCAAATGAAAATTCTCCCATCGAATTTAGATATCAGAATGAATTAAACTTGCACAGAAAATCTCAGTTATCCAGAGCACATAAGGAATGAGTCATTTCGAATAATTACACTTTCCAGATAGTTTCAGGTTTACTTCTGTAAGTGTCTAAGATATTGTCTTTTAATCACTTCGGGTACAAATTTTTCTAAATGTTGTACTTCTCCACACCCTTTTAAAACAGAGAATGAGAAGCAAAATTCTAATTTCTTTTTAAACCATTACTTCCAGTCTCCTGTGAGATTTTACAGATAGCCACAAAACGTTCACACTGCATGTAGTCTCAGAGTAAACAGACTCGAAATGAAAGCCTCCATTGTCTACGGCATGATTTACAGGTAAAGACGCTGAGCTTCCATTCTTGGATTCTGCACATCGTTTTCTAACCAGAGTTACCCAGGAGCCTTGCTGCTTTTTGAACTCTTGGCTATGCTTTAGTTCAGACGGTTGGAAATCTGAGTTCTGGCCAGGAAGTCGTTACTGTACTTAGTGTGGAAGTCTCATGCTGGCCTTTCATCCATAAACTTGCAGCATCTGACATAAACAGCTTGGTGTTTCCCAACCACCCCCAGCTGCACGCCCTCTCCAGAGAAACCTCAAGGGTACATAGGGCAGGGACGAGTAACCCTGATAACAGGACAGACAAATCGTGATTTGTAAAAGTGCTTACGAGGATGTTTCCTTTAGAGATGTATTTAATAGGAATATGTTTTAAACTGCAGCCGCAACCATACCTAATCATTTTAAAACTTTCTATCACTAAAAGAATTTTGATTTGAAGCTAAAATTTGAAGAACCCTGTAACTAACATTCACTGACTGTAATGCGGAAACTTCGAGCAAATTCTGTTGTCCATTAAGATCCCTGAAGTTCTTTGTGCAATTACCTTTAAAAACTTGTTTCAGAGTCAATCTTAATATCCTTTTATTTGATTTATATTCTCATTTTAAGTATCTGAGTTGCATTATAAGCATTACACCAGAAAATTGGTTCTGTAATATTCAACTATCTGCTGGTAAGCTAACTCTCCCAATAAAAAATAAAAAAATAAAATTTCCACCAGAGATTGTCCTTTGCATCTAAGTGTTGCCAAATTCTCTATGCGAAAACAGTCTTCTCGTTTTTCTCAAAGCATTCCAATGTTTGACATAATGTAGGCAATTACATTTTTCACTTTTCATCTGAATATTTTGGCCTCATATAGAAACTTCTTTGAGTATATGATAAATACGTAAAACAAACAGTTATGACTACTATTACAATTCTCATTAATCTGAAAAATGTGAACTTCTCTTCAAAAGATTGTATGCCCTGTGCAATGGTACCAGGCTCTTTATAAAACATCGACATTCTAATTTGCTCATTATCTAAATTAGAACATCTAAAAGAATGTTCTGAATCTTTAAATGCACACTGAAGCATTCACTAAGTTTATTAAATGGAGAGGAAAAGAGCTGTTCAAGGGAGGATTCCATGAATGAGCACTCAGATGAGTGACCGAAGTGGCTCTTTATGTAATTTCACTTTCCCAAAGCTGGTCCCCATCATTTTACATTTGAAAAAAAAAAAAAAATACTGAGAGCCTTTTGGCAAGTAATTAGTTCATCAAGACAAGAGTAAACCAATTACAAAGCTGACTGTGGATTGAGCAGGAAGTGGACAGAACTGAGAAAACATAAAATGAAGGGCTGCCCTCCTGCAAAGAATTTAGTCTGCACTTGATCTTGGCCAAAAGGCCGAGAAGCGATAGAATTTATTCTATCGAGAAGCAGAACAAGGACTCTTTGTGCTCCAGCATAAAAGTCTTTCCTGTCCATTTCTCCTCTTTTTAGTTGAGTTTTAACTTGTTTTGATTGCAAAGTCAAACTTAGATTTACCGAAAATGCATTTCACACATGCTTCCCCTAAATAGCTGTTTATATTTCACACCTTAATTATGTAGGTTGCAAAATCAAAGACACAACATGCCTGTTTTTTTCTAGACTAAAGGTTAAATAAAATCCTTTGAAGTGAAAAAAGAAAAAGCATTGATTAAATCATCCCCAAACTATCTCATTAGTAATCCTCACTAAGTATAACTACAGGATCTAACCCCATGTACAAATCTCTATTTGTTTCAAGATGCCCATGATTCACCTTTTAGTAGTATAGTAAATGTAATTAAATCATTCATTCGATCATTTGGAATTTATCTTATTTTTAATATATGAATGTGACATTCTCAGTAATTTACTTTGGTTAACTAGATGGACATTTAAAAACTATTATTTGTTCAAGTAAACCTGAATGTGAAACCCTGACCATTTAAAAATAAATTTGACATCATTAGAAAATCAGTTATGCTGCTATATGTAGCATGTGTCATAGCCTGTTAGGTGATTCTTAGATAGTTATATGGTTGGTTCTCACAGATGAACAATGTGTTCTAATTGTGACATCTCCACTAAAGTGGTCTTAGAAGAAATCTAGAGGTGAAATCTACCACAACTAGGGCACCAGCATGTACCCTACTGTTAACTGGGCTGTGAGCCCCTCAGGGTCTCAGGCTATTTCTTTTTTACATTTGTGCTCTGGTGACTAGCACACAGCATCTCCACTAAAGTGGTCCTAGAAGAAATCTAGAGGTGAAATCTACCACAGCTAGGGCACCAGCATGTACCCTATTGTTAACTGGGCTGTGAGCCCCTCAGGGTCTCTTTTTTACATTTGTGCTCTGGTGACTAGCACACAGTCTGGAACACAGATGATGATAATGATGGTGATGGTGATGGCAATGGCAATGGCAATAGTGATGATGGTGATGGTGGTGATGATAATGGAGATGATGGTGATGATGGTGATGGCAATGGTGACAGAGGGAGGTTAAGAAACTTTCCTAAATCCACAGTTAGCAAGTGGTACAACTAAGAAATTTCAGTTCTGACCCCAAACCTCACGTGCTTTCTCCCACATTCTAGCAGGAGAAAGTATCATTAATTGTATAATATCAAATATTTAATGAAAACTGTGACGAATGCTGTTATATATGTGTATCTGTACATATATACATAGATGATATGCGTACATATACATCTCTATACTGTGATATATATAATCAGAGATCAGGGAATGAGTAAGCTGACATTTAAGCTGATATCTGAAGGATGATCACACCTTTATCCAAAGAGAGGAAGAACTTTAAAAGTCCTCTCTCACTCTACAAAGAGTAATCACGTTTCGTCCTTTGGAGCCTCGTGAAGGCGATGGAGAGAACGCCGTTTTCTGCTATAGGGATCCCCTGTGCTGTTTTAACACCTGGAGCAGTAGAAGTATTGTGTCCAGAAACATCATTTTTTAACTTTAGAGGCCACAAGGCACGAAGCCATGACTAAGGGCCGGCATGCTCGAGTCAGGACAGGCCTAGTCAACGACTGACCATGCAAGTTCCTGTCAACAGACAAGGTTTGACCTGAGAGGCTGACTGTCCTTATCAGTCCTGTTCATGCTTTGCCACAAAAGCTATTTTGCAACTTTGCAGAGATAATCCTTCCTGTTTATTAGCAGAGACTCTTTCTCATAAATGCTTCCTCCTTGTTGATTTAGACTGGAATATTATTACTTACAGGAAGTTATTTAAGCTTTTAATATTTTTCAAGTGCTGATAATTTTAACACTCAAACCTTGTTTATCAATAGAGTGAAAGTCCAGCCCATAGTAAATATTGGTTATTAATATCAAACTACCTTTTGGGGGAAAAATAGATACAACAGAATCCCATGTTAAGCTTTTTACTAGCACAAGGGTCACAAACTCAGATACCTGCAGTAACCAGGAGGGTAATTCAATGAAAAATGTAAGTGCAGTGGGGACTGGTGATCAGAGAGCCAGTGACCTTCCTGAAGGGGTCAGTCAGGACTCAGCCAAATTCTATGCAGGAGTTTGGTCCAGTGTCACCAGACCTCCAGGTTTTGTTTGTTCGTTTTTTAAGAGAAACCAGCAATCTAGATTCCTATATAATATTTCTGTGTTGTTAATGTTGGCATTAAATTTGTTTTAATATCATGCAATCTTAACAAAACACACCAATGGGCTAAGACTTGATGACCTTGGCTCTGGCCCACAGGACCTTAGATCTTAGGGTTTCCATAAACATTCATTGAGCATCTTGCCCATGCCAGGTACTATGAGAGGCACCAGAGATACTAAGACACACAGCCCAGCACTGCCTTTGGGGAGTTCACGCTCTGGTCACATTATGTGCAGGATGCGAACAAGTATTATCTAGCAGGATGAAGCGGAGCTCATCATCTGATACCACACATATTTGATTACACATTGTGATGAGTGCATAGCACATTCAGCGATCGGGGAAGCAATAAGCTTACATTTAGGTTGTCATCTGAAGGTTGGGCACACATTTATCCAAAGGAAGAAAGGGAGGAAAAGCACACAGACAAAGGGAACAGTGTGTGCAAAGGCCCTGAGGTAAGATGGAACTTGGCGTGCACGGGGAACCCAATGGGGGCCTGAGTGACTGATACATAGTATACAGGGAAAGGGCTACACATGATGAGCATGGAGAGAGAAGTGGGAGTAGATCACCCATGGGCTGTGGTCCATGTTAAGGATTTTATGATATAAGAAGCCATTGTCAGGATTTTAAGCAGGAACATGGCAAAAGAAGATCTGGGGTTTTAAGGGATCATTCTGTCTCCAGGGTGGGAAACAAAGCAAGGCTAATAAGCCAACAGTGGAGATAAAAAGGAATCATAAAAAATATGCAAACCAGAAGAAGGCAGGAAAGAAGAGAAAAAGGAGCAAAACCCAGATGGACAAATAGAAAACAAGAGCAGCATGATTTGAACCCAACCATATCAATAATTATATTAACAGCAAATGAGAAGAAACTATAACTAAGACAGATAAGACTGGATAAAAACCGACTGTATGCTATACTAGTAACATAAATATACCTTAAATTAAAGAGAAGTAAAAAGTAAAGGTTAAAAAAAGATATACCACAGCACTAATCAAACACGAGGGGGTATATATCATCCCATTTCTATGACATTACAGGAAAACAACATATAGTGACAGAGAGCAGATCGGTGGTCGTCTGAGCCTAGAGGGGGAGGTACTGCCTATGAATGGCACAAGTGGTGGACATTTTGGAGCAAGGGAGCTGTTCCGCACCTTGTTTGTGATAATAGCTACAGGGCTGTACACATTTGTCATATCTCGGCAAATAGCATATGTAAAATTGGTAAGTTTTATTGTGTGTAATTTATACAGAGAGAGGGAGGGAGGGAGGGAGGGGGGAGAGAGAGGGGGAGAGAGAGAGAGAGAGAAAGGGAGAGAGAGAGAAATAAAGAGAGGAAAAGGAAGGAAAAGGGAAAGAAAAAATTAAGCATTTCTGTTTCCAAAAGTATAGTCACTTAAGTAAGAATAGTTAGTTCCCTCTGGACCTTTATTCCATCATGTAAAGCGTTTTAGGTTGTTTTTAATCCTTATTGTTTGCCTGCATCCACACTCTGATGGTCTCAACTTCACCTCAAGGAATTTATCAAGCTGTTGTGAAAAGGAAGGAAAAGGGAAAGAAAAAATTAAACATTTCTGTTTCCAAAAGTATAGTCACTTAAGTAAGAATAGTTAGTTCCCTCTGGACCTTTATTCCATCATGTAAAGCGTTTTAGGTTGTTTTTAATCCTTATTGTTTGCCTGCATCCACACTCTGATGGTCTCAACTTCACCTCAAGGAATTTATCAAGCTGTTGTACCAAATAAAAATAATTTTATCCCAAAGAGAAATTCTGGCACCAGTTGATAAGTGAAACTCTCACCCAATTAAATGAGGACTGCCTCAGACAGGGGAAGCTGCCCGCCGCCTCCAGCTGGCTATCTATGACACTGATCTCTCCCCTTCCCGACCTCACTTGCTCCATCTCTAGCCACATCTTCCTTTTGTTGTTGAAAGCTGCACCCAACCCTCTGCCTTCTTTTAATCTTCAGAATCTCAGTTCTGTCTTTCCAATAAAGAAGACCAATTTCTACACCCTCTCCCTCTCCTGCTCGCAGAGAAAGATGAGCACACATGAAAGTGTTAATGGTGGGGTTTGGGGTACACGAAGGACCAAAGTAAGACATCTAAAGTTCTAATAATGTACTAGTAACATTTCCTATTCACTTAGATGACCAAGGACTCAAAGCCTTTATAATTACATGGACATAGGAGTGGATATAATGTGACTCTTTCCAAACAACGGAGGGTCACTATGAAGAGGCGCACACGCCTCTACAGAGATCTTACATTCCCCTAGATTTGAAAGTGATGACCAGGCAGCCCTCACAATCTGTCCGGATGTTTTGATAACTTCTACTTCTCCAGGTGCTTCCTACACTGACCACACATCCCCTGCAGAGAAGATGGATGATGCCGTTGCCCCAGGCCGAGAGTACACCTACGAGTGGGTTATCAGTGAGGACAGCGGGCCCACACGCGACGACCCGCCATGTCTCACACACATCTACTACTCTTACGAAAATCTGGTACAGGACTTCAACTCTGGGCTGATCGGACCTCTGCTTATTTGTAAGAAAGGTAAAAAAACGTACAAACAAACAAATAAACAAAAACATGAATGACAGCAAAGGAGTTGGGGTGCTAAGGAGTACTCTAAGGGAATGAGGCTCGAGACACCCTTGGAGCCTTTCTGTAGTCCAGGCAGAGGGAGAGGGCTGTGGACGCCAGACCACTGCAGGACATTGGCATCTGAGGGTTCGGAATCCTCCTGTCTCTTACAATCAATCCCTCCTTCATCTCAGTCCTGGAGCCTCTCCCGAGTAGGTCCCTGTCCTGTTGCCACGCCTGCAGCATCTGTAATGTTCACCTCGAGGCCACGTCACTTTGAAAGTGTACAGCAGCCTGTGCCCTGATGGGAGTGCTTGGAAAGAGTTGTGACTGACGTCAGAGGTTTGGGCTGGTGATCTGGTCTACAAACACACAAAACTCTAGCTTCTTTTCTTGTAAAAGAGACGAACCCTTTGGGTGGTAGGGTGCAAACACATCCAATTGACTTTTTAAGAAATTTCATTAGCTGGGCTTCTTAGGAACAAGCTTGGATTTTCATTGTACCTCAGAGGAATTCAGCTCATTTTTCATTAAAACAAACAAACAACCACAATGAACTGCGCTGTAGAAAAAAATGTGATGGACTCATCATCTCTCTGATGCACGCGCATGAGTCCCTAACTCATCGAGTCACTACACATATACATGTTTTCATTGCCTGGTACAGAGAGGATGTTGTGATTGCACTAAAAGAAATGAAAACTTATAGAAAGCTTTATTTCAGCTGCGTTTTTTTCCTCATATGAGAATGGACTAACCTTGACCCTTGCAACCAGTTCTCTAGTGTGCCATGCCATGTACACACAGGATGGCTGTATCAAACTTGGAGTGTGATGCTTTTCCCAACTGAGCTTGGTACCTATGTACCGGCCTACTGACACTGGAGAACATGGATACTTCTACTAAAGCCTTGACAGCCACCAAGTGTTCCCTCTGTGCCACATCACATTTACCTTTAAAGCCCCATTCCTCAAGGCTATGAGGGGCCAACGAAAACATGCAGTGTGGCACTAAGATTTTGATAATGCCCCAATTATCATTACTTGATAAAGATGCTATTTTTTAAAAGTAAGAACTTTTTCAAGTTGATACCATTATGATTGGCTGTTGGCCTTAAACCCTTTGTTATCTGGGAATAGCAAATGAGAGTCTTCTACCTGGGACGCTACTGACAGGTATGTCTCTCCTTTCACAGGCACCCTAACTGAGGATGGGATTCAGAAGATGTTTGACAAGCAGCACGTGCTGATGTTCGCTGTGTTCGATGAAAGCAAGAGCTGGAGCCGGTCGCCATCGCTAATGTACACGGTCAACGGCTACGTGAACGGGACGATGCCAGGTAACGCGTGGGCTGTGCGCTGCCCGAGAGCAGTAGCAGCATCGGTGTCTCGGGCCCTGCCATTTTCCTCACGGCACTTGGGACGCTGACCACACTCAGTTTTTCAGCTCTTAATCAGAAAGGTAATATAATCTAGCTCAGTGGTTCTCAAGGTTTTCTCATCTCTTCTTCTAATGAGCAAGTACAACTGATAAATTGGAAACTACGTAAGTGAAGGGGTATGCGGCCTTATTAGAAGTAGTGCTCTGAGTAGGTTTCACCTTGACCTGCATCTCCTGGAAGACTTCTAGGATATCAGCTCAATCTCTTTCAGTGAGTCATGCCTTCTTCCGCAGTGGAAGCTTTATAGGACAGAAGTTCAAGGTCAACCCCTAGCAGAAAGAGTCAACAGGAAGAATTCAATAAAGATACACTGGAGATGAACAGAAGATTAGGAGAAATAGCCAACAAATAAAAATACTATTGACATTTCAAAAGGTGACAGATGAGTAATATCCAAAGGCATGTAGGATGTTTTCTCTTTCCATTTGCACGTCGACTCTTTCAAAAAAGCAAAATCGTCGCAACTATAAAGAGAAAAAAACTGGCTTCCAATCAAACCATTTCTATCCGCTAAAAATGCTTTAGAACCAAAGATTCTGAGGGGAAAAGTAGAAAAATTAAAATATTACTTTATTAAATAAACCATTCAAAACACTAAGCTTCTCAGAGATCATTCTCTACATCTGAAAATCACAAATGGTTTCACTTACTAAAAAAACAAAATTTGGCAAGAGTTGAGGTTTTGACATTGCTTTTAAATTGTATTCTCTTTCATTTGACTCCTCTTCCCACCTATTATTACACACACTCAGATGACTCTAGGCTTTGATTCAGAGGTCCAAAACTTAAACTGGCATCTACCTTAAGAGACCTAAGTTCAAACCCTGCTCATCTCTCTGCCTTAGTGTCATCCTTGGCAGGTAGTTATCTCCCTGTGCTAACTTACAAAAATGGATTAACCATCAACACTGGTACGGGGGGGCGGGGTTAATAATTTTTTTTTAAACATAGAAAGTAGCATGTCCAGTGCTAAGGGACTTAGAAGGAAGTGGTCAAAAGTGGTCAAATTGTATCTGTGTCCCGGCAGACAGAATCATCTGTGTAAATACATGGAAGTTCAAAAAGCGAACCATATGCACAAAAAATAAAAATTAATAACTTGACCAGGGCATAGAGTATATGAATTTATGGTTGAAAAAAACAGAACAGTTGGGGTTAAGAGGGGCAGAGTAGAAACTGAGAGAAGTTAATGCTTGTAAAACAGCCTTACTGAATCAATGTAATAAATGCTGATACAGATATATTGAATGCTCGACTCAATTTGAGCATCCATTTGGGATGGCTAAATGCTTCCACCACAGCCTCCTGTCTAGCTACTCATTCTCAGGTTCTAGCTTTTTGTTCTCACCCGTGATACCAGGAACCCCTGCCTTGCTACAGTGGCCTACTGAAAAAGACTAAGCCCTTAGCCCCTCTGTGGGCACTGAAACTCAGCCCCATGGTCTGGTATCTAGTGATCATGGATCTGAAATGTAAAACCCATGCCAAGGGAAGAAGCCAGGACTGGAAGCTCCTACAGAGCAAATGAGCGTTTCTCCAGTCACTGCAGGAACAAAGAAGGAGCAAAACTCAGCTTCTGTGCTGTTCTCCTTACTCCAACCATGAGATGCTCCCAGTGGCCCAGCTAACGAGGAACCGTCCACTGCATTTTTAAGAAAAGCCTATAATCCACAAAGTAACTAATTGCCTTGACATTAAAACAACCAATGAGTGGGTACAGAAGCAATAATAAAATCCTTAAATTATCTTCACATCTCCTTCCTTTTAGGCAGAGCTCTGACCTCTATCTAGCTGACAGGATTGGGCTCTTGAACTCTGCCCTACTGCGGGCTCTGGCGACCCCCTCCAGCTGAGGCCAGATTGGTTCTAGAGTGACCAGCTTCCCAGGCTTGCCCAGGACTGTCCGAGTTCCAACACTGAAAATCCTACATCCTGGGAAACACCTCAGTCCCTGGTAAGCCAGGATGGCTGGCCACCTACTTCGTTGCCTCGTCGGCCTGATCCCCGAGCAATTCGTTTCTGAGCCAACATCCCCCATCTCTGGGCTCTATTCTTACCTCCGTGGTACCTCTTACTGCAATAAATCATGACGACTCGTTGGCCCATCACTTAGATATCTGCCTTTCTAGGGTGGGAACCACAATCAGAGTGTCTAGACTTCAGAACCCTGCACAATGGCTCATGCATAGCAGGCGCTCAGCACGTATCTGAGTGCTAACTGCCTGTTTTGGCCCTATCTCTTCCTTTCTCTCAGATATAACAGTTTGTGCCCATGACCACATCAGCTGGCATCTGATTGGAATGAGCTCTGGACCAGAACTGTTCTCCATTCATTTCAATGGCCAGGTCCTGGAGCAGAACCATCATAAGATCTCAGCCATCACCCTCGTCAGTGCTACGTCCACCACCGCAAACATGACTGTGAGCCCAGAGGGGAAGTGGACAATATCTTCTCTCATCCCAAAACATTTTCAAGGCAAGAAACTCTTCTGATAGTCTTGCTTATGAACGCAGGATCCTTTCTTCCCAGGCACTAACTCTCTCCTTCTCCTGTGCCCTTTCAAGCCACCTACATTCCAGATACTCATGCCTTGGTCCCCGAGAACAGAATTTAGATTCTCCTCTTTTAGATTCATAATCTAGTCGGGGATGGAGGAAGTGGAGGAATTGACAAAGATTTTTAAAAATGAAGCAAAAGCTGAAGAGGTCTCTACTTCCTTGAAAGGAAAAAGGAGGAAGGAAACTAATACATACATAGAGATATTCTTTCTTAGGGTATTTAATAAGGAAAAGACCTGAATGTTAAAACAGGACAAACATCTGCAAATTTACAGAAGTACCAAGTTATAGAAAATATCAGTTGTAACATGAAAAGATTATCTTCTATAGCAAGATGAGCACAAAGATTGGCATAAAGGGGAACCCAATGGATGTGAACTGAATGGGTCAAACACAAAAACGTCACAGCTGAGCAGTGGGCTTCTGAGAACACTGGTGAATTGTCAGCCCACGTTATTATGTGGTACCACATAAACAAAATAACTACTGTTCTACTATACATTGGTGCTTTAAGACTGTTGTAAACAGACCAAAATGTAAGTCAATGATATTGCTGTAGGAAATGTTACCAAAATAATATATATAAGCAAAACCCATAGGAAAGATTGACCTCACAGGATCTTTTCATTTTCTTTTCACGCTGAGCAGTCAAAATTATATTTGAAGTAACGAAATTGTCACAATATCCCTGGAAGGAGAGTTCCAAATAATAATAAAAATAACACCAATAAATAAACATTATTGAACTCAAGTCCTTTTCGTATTAACTTATTTAATTTTAACGACAGTTTCATACAGTATTTACTAGTCTTATTTTCATTTTACAACTAAAAGGACAGCTGACAGGAAAGGTGAGAAATCGACAAGACCTAAGTGATAAGGTTTTAAGGGTCTGGAAATGACAAATGCTCCCGCTCCGGAAGAAGCAGCGGAAATGTTTCTAAATACTCTCCCTAACCCAGCCTCTCTCCTCCTTGCTTTTCACCCATGCCCCGTCTCCACTGCACTGAAAGAGCTGCAAACCAAAATGTGCAACACTTGCCTGGGCTTTACTTTCGATGTTATTATTTAACGCTTCTACAAATTTACTTAAAAGATACACATTTTAATCAGCCTTAATTTCTTCTCTCAAATGCTTTCACTGTCTTTATGTTCTAACTCAGCTGGGATGCAGGCTTACATAGACATTAAAAACTGCGCAAAGAAAACCAGGAATCTTAAGACGCTAACTCGCGAGCAGAGGCGGCACATGAAGAGGTGGGAATACTTCATCGCGGCGGAGGAAGTCATCTGGGACTACGCACCTGTAATACCAGCGACCATGGACAAGTGAGTTTCGGGGTTCTTACCACTGTGCAAAGGTTTAGGACATGTTCCATAGGGTCCTGTATGTGTGAAGTGAAATGTCATGAGTTGACAACTCTCAAGGGAATATGTGTTCTGAATTCCATTCAGGTCTTCTTGTTGAAATCAATCTGTAATTACCCCAAACTCACCAAGGGAAATTAATAATAATAATGATAATAGTAGCAGTAGCAGCAGCAGCAGCAGCCGCCACTTGGTAAATGCATGCTGCTGCCAAGCATTGTGCTAACCCCTTTGTAAGAGCTTCACTTTAACTCCAAAGTTAGAAATAGCTCTTGTCTATTTTGTAGGTTAGTAAATGGGTCAAAGAGATTAAGAAATTTGAAAATTCAGATTGATCTTAAACACATGAAAAATACTCAAGCTTGCTCACAGTAAGAGAAATGCAAATTAAACCTCTCTGAAACACTGATTTTCACCTAGCATACTCACCATCTGGGTGAGTATGTTACTGATCTGTTGGCGAGGCTGTGAGGAACAGGTGCTCTCATGTATTGCTGATGGAAGAGAAAACAGGAAGCGCCTGTCTAAAGGATAATGTGGCACTATCAAAATTATAAATACCTACACCCTTTGACCCAGCAACCTCACCCTGGGAATCTACTTGTTCGCAGGTGAAATTATGTACGTACAAGATACTCAATGCTGTACTGTTAGAAGCGGCAAAAGACTGGAAATAACCCAAAATATCCATCAATAGGAAACTGGTTTAATTATGGTATATTCATATATGGAATACTGTGCATCTGTTTAAAAAAGGATGCAAACATGCTCTATGTACTAATATGAAAAGTTCTCCGATATATTATTAAATTAAAAGTCAAGGGAGTCAGACAGCAGGATAAGAGGTCCCCAACTCGTATCCCCCACAGCAATAATAATTTGGCAGCCATCCGCAAATGAAAGTGTGTTTGTGAGAGCTTTGGAATCCAGGCAGGAACTTGCGAAATCCCAGTGAAAGCCAAGACCAAGGAGGCCTGTTTTGAGAAGCAAGTCCATGCTCAGGCAGTAGGTTTGCTGACTGTGGTTCCAGTTACAAAACTAGAAACAGCCTCATTCCCTTATAGATTCTGCTACAGCCCCATTTGGCCTTGGTTCTGCTACAACACCATTTGATAAGGGACCCAAGAGTCACATCTGTCCATGACCTTGAAGGCTGGCCTGCAGACCTTGGTCCCACTGCAGATCTTGAAGTAACCCAGCTCCAACCCTCCCAACTGCTGTCCAGAAATAGTACTGCCCACCCAGGGACCTACCCAGTGACCTGGTGGTAGCCCTCCCAAGGACCAGATGGGAGCCATACCCATCTACACACCTGGTAACAGGCCCACCATTTGCAAACTCAACTGAGGACCTTGAAGTGGACCATTGTTGCAGTGCCAGCTACCAACCAAGGTCCTGGAGGCAGTCCCATCTTCCCAGGGACCAGACAAGATCCATGCCCACCTTAGCCCTTGGTAAAGGCTTGCCAACTACAGATGCCACTGTGGGCCCACCAGCAGCCATGTGGCTTGATTCCAGCCTCACCCAAATGCAATCCCAGAGGCCTGACAGAAGAAGGTCTTTACCTGCCAAAATCAGTCTGTAAAGGCTGGAAGAGGGTGTTTGCTTCTTCAAACACAGAGACACCAATACAAAGCTACACAAATCACAAAGAATCAGGCGAATATGATACCATCAAAGAAACTAATAAAGCTTCAGTAACTGACATGAAAGAAGTGGAGATCTACGAATTGCCTGACAAATAATTCAAAATAAGTATCTTAAAGAAGCTCAATGAGGCGCAAGAGAACACAGATAGGCAACTAAACAAAACCAGGAAAACAGTGCACGAACAAAATGAGAAGTTTAATAAAGAAATAGAAACCGTAAAAAAATAACCAAGCAGAAATCCTGGAGCTGAAGAATACAATGACAGAACTGAAAAATTCAATAAAGGGCTTTAATACCCGACTCAATAATGCAGAAGAAAGATTCAGCAAACTCAAAGACAGGTCATTTGAAATTATCCGGTTACATGAACAAGAAGAAAAATGAGTGAAAAAGAATGAAGAAAGCTTACAGGAATTATGGGGTAATATCAAAAGAACTAATATATGCATTGTAGGAGTCTGAAGGAAAAAGAGGAGAGAAAAGGGCAGAAAGCTTATTTAAACATAATGGCTGAAAACTTCCCAAATCTTGGGAGGGATATGGATATACAGACTCATGAAGCTCCAAAGAGCTACCCAAAAGCAAGATCAACCCAAAGAAAATTACCCCCCAAGACACTGTAATCAAATTGTCAAAAGTCAAAGAGAGCGAATTCTGAACACAACAAGAGATAAGCAACTTGTCATATACAAAGCAACCTCCGTAAGGCTATTAGCAGATTTCTTAGCAGAAACCTTGGCGGCTAGGAGAGTGTGAGATGATACATATTCAAAGTGTTGAAAGAAGAAAAAACTGCCAACCAAAGATAACGATATCTTACTCCTCAAAACTGTCCTTAAGAAGTGAGGAGAGAGATACATTCTCCTTGACAAAGAAAAGCTGAGGGAGTTCAACATTACTAGACCTGCCTTATAATAAATGCTAACAAGGGTTCTTCAGGTTGATATGAAAAGATGCTAAGATACTAAGTAGTAACAAATCATCTGAAACCTAATATACACGGTAGTGACTATAGTTAATAATACTATATTGTATACTTGAAATTTGTTAAGACAGTAAATCTGAAGTTTTCTCACCACACACAAAAAGAAATAGTAACTATGTGAGGTGGTGCAAGAGTTAATTAACTTGTGTGGTAAAAACACATAAATCATCATGTTGTATACTTGACATATATACACCTCAGTAAAGCTGGAAAAAATGCAAAAAAAAAAAAGTCAAGTTGTAGCAGAGTATATAAATAGCTGCCTTTTGTTGAAAAGTGAGAGGATGAGAATATTTACATTTGCAAGTTATATTTGCATAGATGCTCTGGAATCATACACATGAAATTAATACAAGTGAATACTTAGAAAATGCAGGGATGGTTAGAGAAGGGGGGTTGAGGGGATCTAGTATGTGAGAGTTTTCACTAACCAAAATATTTTAATTTACATTTAAAAATTTTAACTGAGAAAATGAGTAAAAAAGGAATTGCTCAAGATCATATAACGACTGACAGAACTGAGATAGAAACTCAGGCCTCTCTGGCAACACTCAGTGCTTTTTATTATGCACAGTGAAGGCATGAAGTGGATACATTCTACCAAGGAGTTTCTGCTTTTGCAAACTAAGGTAATAAAGAGGACAAGGGGAAAGTGGTCTTTGTTGCTGCCTCCAAATCACGCATCGCAGCACTGCAGAAGACGGGGGAGGGCGGTTGCTTCCCAGTTGGCACAGGATCAGGGTAGATGGTAGGCAGAGTAGATCAGTAGCACAGAACGATGTCTGCCAAAGTGAAAGCTTCCTGGACTGTAAAAGTGCTTTCAGAAATTGAGAAATAACTGGAAAGCCAATAAAGTTACCATAAATTAAATGACAGAAAAGACTTAAGAAAAAGTCATAGTGTGTCCCACCCTTTCATCTATGTAGACCTTTGCCCAGAGACAGCTCAGGTCTACTCTAGCAACCAGAGGGCCAGATCTAAGTGGTTTCTTCTCACCGTGACTCCAGCTTTATCCGTGGTTGAGGAGACAGATCAGAAGTTTCCAGTTCTCCAACTAGAGAGAAGATATCAGGACTTTGCAAATCGTATTAAGAGTTTTTTTTAGAAAACCAGCTTTTTAGCTCATCCAAGAGCAGAACTTCTTTCTACATACAAGAGTTCCCCCCGACCCTACTGGGATCTCTACTTGAGAAAATGATTTAATTTTTTAAAACTTTTATTTCACTTTAAGAAAATACAGATCTCTGCATTTGGATAATTTCTCAAACCAAATTGGAAAACACTATAAGAAGGTTGTCTACAAACAGTACCAAGATGAGTCCTTCACCAAACGCCTGGAGGATCCCAATATCAAAGAAAATGGGATCTTGGGCCCAATTATCAGAGCTCAAGTCAGAGACACACTCAAAGTAAGTAACGGAAATATAGAACCATCTGAACACATTAAAGAGTGAAAGAGATTATAAGTATTGGTTTATTTTTAAAAGAAAAGGTGTCCATATAATTTTTAATTCAAATGAAACTTGTAATTTTTATTTACTATTTGTACTTATTTATAGCCTACCTCATAGTACAAAGAATGAGACAGTTTATCAAATTAAAGAGAATGAAACAAAGAGTCAATGTAATTGGGGTGGAGAATATGGGCCAAAAATTAAAACCAAGGTTAAGTATATTGAAACACATATCATATGCTTCTATAAAGTTGTCTGCAAATTTTGTCCTGAGCTTTCTAGCAGCCAAAGTAAAAAGGGAAATGAGTCAGGGCAAGATTTACAGTAGTCATAAAAGAAGCACAGAGACTAGAGAAGAATTTCTGCCATGGATCCTTTTTTTAAAAAAAAAAGATGTGGGATGACACAGTGGAGCAAATCCTTGATAAAATCCCAATAAATTATGCATAGCCTTTGAAAATAATTATGCATAGCCTTTTAAAATAATATTTTTCATTAGAGCTGAGAACATCGCAGTAAACACAGGTGAGTAAAAACGATTCTTCACTGGGGTCCAGGTATACAGGTCTCTGAAGATTATTCCCTGATGAAGGCAAATTTAGATATGTAGCAAGAACACTGAGTGTTCTTCAGACAGTTTTCTCTAAATGTTATATCACGACATCAAGCTTTTTATAAGAACTGGGACACAGATAACTGAAAGTTCCGATCTTTGGCGAGATTCTAGAATGCAGTTAATCTACAGATAAAGGATGATCCAAGTGCTTTGGCAATCAGCCAAGTAGAAGATAAGACTAAGATTCTCTTTTGAAGATTAAGGAGCCTAACTAGGACTCCTGTGTGAATAATGCTCCTCCCTTCACCCCTGCATGGAGTGAACTAAGAGGATATCCACAGACAAGGTCAGTCCTGTTCATTTGAAAATACCCAAAGGACAGAAAGCAGCCTCTCTCTGTCACTCTCCCCCTTCCCCCATTTCAGATCCCCTTTAGGTACTCTGAGTGACTATAAATATACATCACTGGAAATTTAGGATCTGGCTCTTTTCCATGCCTTTCAAGAAGATGGCTTCAAAGACACTGGTCTTAGGAGATGTGGCTGGCCGGGGGAGGGGATCATGGTCTAGGCAGAAGGAGCAGATCTGAAGTCATATGCGGTCCAAGCTGGAAGGAGGGGAAAGGGGACGAGGACCAGTTTAGAGAAGGTGATACACTGTGAGGAAACTGTCACTTCCAAGATCAGATTTCTCTTTCCATTTTCTGCCTTACTGTGTGAGTGAAATACTCTCAAATGCTGCTTTCAGGTGATGGCAGAGGTTGCTGCTCAGACAAACAACTAGTTTGCATGCGTGCCCATCCGCACACACACACACCACCCAACAAGCGAATGTGCAAAGTTGGCATCCTCTATTAATTCTCATGATCGACCTTAAATTCTGAAATAATGAATTTGAGTTAACTTTGTAGATCGTGTTCAAAAATATGGCCAGCCGTGTCTACAGCATTTACCCTCACGGAGTGACCTTCTCTCCTTTTGAAGATGAAGTCAACTCTTCCTTCTCCTCAGGTTTGAATTTTTCACTTCTACTGGAAACTACTGACCTCTGAGAGGCCACTATATCTTTCTACCATCCTTCTTGCTTAGTAGATAGCGTGTGCGGTCAGGTAGTACACGTGGAGGGTGCCCTAAAAGTCACAACTCGAAGCTGCTCACTTCCAGGGTTTGTTTACCCTGCTGGTGACAAAATACAATATCGTCTGGTAGTGCCATAGCGGCCTCTAGTGGAGCAATAGCTGATGACTACATGCGATCCAGGGTTCTCTTAAGTGGAGCTTAATATAAAAAGAATATCCCTTTCCCAATATTAACTGGTTGTAATGAGGGCTCAATTATTCATTCATTCACTCACTCATTCATTTTCACAAAATAATTTTGCAAATTAAAACAATTCTGACTGTGTTTTCTTTCAGGCAGTAACACCATGATCAGAGCAGTTCAACCAGGGGAAACCTATACTTACAAGTGGAACATCATGGAGTCAGATGAGCCCACAGAGAATGATGCCCAGTGCTTAACGAGACCCTACTACAGCAATGTGGACATCACGAGGGACACTGCCTCTGGGCTGATAGGGCTACTTCTAATTTGTAAGAGCAGGTCCCTGGACAAGCGAGGCATACAGGTATCTTGTCCTTGATGAAACCTTCCAGAAATTTCTGAGAATTTCTTCTGGCTGGAACAGATTAGGTCTCCTTGCTAAACAATGCGGCTTTTCTAGAGAACAGAAAATATTAAGTAGTCCTCTTTAGCATGAATGTGATAACGTTTATTCCTTTGGTTACATCTTTGTCTTGTTGTATACTCTCACTGCAGAAGGCAAGTCTACAGTGTGAAACTATTTTGGTATAGTTTCTAATTCCAGGTCTGTTGACATTGGCTATGTGAGAAGCAGATCATTTGGCCTCTCTGAATTTCTTTCTTTTATCAAATGGGTAAAATCCGTCCTAAAAATTGTATAGGGTTGTTTTGGGGCTCGGTGAGACGCCACCTGGTAGAAGTGTAAAGTTCTGTAGCAACCCTTGCTGCCTTTAGATATCTACACTGGAGAGAGAACAGAGAGAGATACTGGAGACATAGCTTCTAGTGAGATGGGGCCTAAACAATGTCCCTCTCTAATGAGACTAAATTATACAGAAGAATGTGAACAAAGATATGGATCTTCTGCATTAATGTTCACTGAAGAATAATAGTTGCATATTATTAACTTAAAATTCACAATTAGGCAAAGCTATAATCAAAAAGTCTCAGCCCAAGGCATACAAAATAAATATACGCCTAGAAAAATCAGAAATGGACATTTGGAAGACCTAATTTATTGAGCTCAGAAAGAAAACAGTATAAAGCTTTTCTGTTGCCACCTCCTGTTTTGTCCTTTGCAAATCTAGGAGCACATGCAATCATTCAGGTTGAGAGAGAAGCAGAATTACAGTTGCCATGGTAAAACGGGACTTCTCTATTAGCATAGTTCAGTCTCTGAACTTCGATCTGCTCTGTTGGCTTTTGCTAACACCTTTGTCTCTGACAAGGGGTGTGGACACATGGGTTCTTACAAGGGGTGTGGACACATGGGCTCTCATAAATGCCTGCGCCGTGGCTTCGGGGGTCGCGAGGACTGTGCTGGTGGGTTTCAGAGAGGGACTCAGCGCTGTGGACGACCAGCGGGATAGCGATTAACGAACGTGCCACTTTTACCCGCCAGAGGGCAGCAGACATCGAGCAGCAGGCCGTGTTTGCTGTGTTCGACGAGAACAAGAGCTGGTACATTGAGGACAACATCCACAAGTTTTGTGAAAATCCTGACAAGGTGAACCGCGATGACCCCAAGTTTTATGAATCAAACCTCATGAGCAGTAAGTCGGAGCACTGCGTCTGTCCATCAGCTTCTCGCTGCTGTGGTTGAAGCATGGCTGTGCCTAGAGGCAGAGACGTGGACTAGCACCCACGCACCTCTCACGCCCACTTCCGCCCGGGGATCTGGTGGTGAAATTACTGGGGGACATTACAGCAACCCTTTTACAGCAAGAAGTCAAAAGCTTGTTATCTTTACAAGTCTTCTGGTTTCCTGCTCCCAGCATGTGTGCATGTGTGTGCGTGTGTGTGCGTGTGTGTGTGTGCGCGCACGCGCATGCTCTGGGCAGGGAGGCACAGAGCAGGGGACGCGGGTGGCGAGCGAAGGGCTGCAGGACGTGGTGGGTGGTGTCTGGGAATCTGTCTCGGTGCAAGGCGAACTCCTTAGGCCAGGGCAGCAGCTCGGTAGGTAACCCGGGGCTGGACTGCCAAATCAGACTAAGAAGGTCAATGCGGATGGGGAGCCGGGGGTGTTGGAACGTCTGTCCGCCAAGAGGTTTAGGGCTCGCTAAGAATTTCGGGACAGAAGGGATCACCCGAGCCCCGGCTGAGGCGTTTGCTGTGGGCTTAAGCTAAGGGCCCAGAGCCAATGCTGGGGGGAAGCCTGAGTTTGATCCTCCAGTCAGTCACATGTCAGACCTGGTAAAGCTCATTTCGTAGTCATTGCCTTGGGACGTTCATTTTCCGTATAACGATACTGCCCTTGTTGATAGGCCTGGCGTTTTAACAGACTTAACTCTTTCAGCTATCAATGGCTATGTGCCGGAGAGCATACCCACCCTGGGTTTCTGTTTCGATGACACTGTCCAGTGGCACTTTTGCAGTGTGGGAACCCAAGATGACATTTTGACCATTCACTTCACTGGGCACTCATTCATCTATGGAAAGAGGCACGAGGACACGCTGACCCTCTTTCCCATGCGTGGGGAATCTGTGACCGTCACGATGGACAATGTTGGTAAGGGCCCAGACGCCGAGGGCATCTCTGGCCTCTCAAGGTCTGGTGCAGCTTGCCAGACGCCCACAGCTCGCTGGTCCTCGCAGGCTTTCAACACTCCTCATGATTTCTATTTGGGGCATTAATCCCTTCAACAGGCTAGTCCTTTAATGTGGGACCCATTTATCCTTCTCTGGGCTAAGTGAGAAGCACGGACACACGTCCGCAGCAACATAAGGCATAGCTTTGGGGAAGAAGCATGAACATTCAGTCACAAAAGAAAGTTTCTTTTTCCAAAATGTCCTTTTCTGTTTTTTTTAACGATCATCAGATATGGTGCTTTAGAGGCTGGCATCAGACACAGCACAGTGTCGTCAGAAGCACGTGGGCTTTGGAATTCATCAGACCTGGATTCAAATTCTGCTCCGCCACTGTATACAGATATTGAGTGGCGGAGCAGAATTTGACCTCACTGAGCCTCATTTTATTAATCTGAAAAACAGAACAACACCTTACAGAGTTGTTTTGACCATTAATCGTAATACGTGCCAAGTGCCTAGCACTCAGTAGACACGCGGCAAGTGGCAATGATCAGTGAACTCCCAGGAAGTCTTCAGTGTGCCAACAAATCATACCATTTCAAAGAGATTCGAAACTGTCCTGGGCCCACCTGAATTACTTATTACTTAGAAATATCTAAATGTCTTTTATTTCTGGGAGTAGACGTCACCACCTGCTCCTAACTCCAATCCTCAAACAAGATGTTTATAATTCTCAAAGTTCATTTTATTCTCAATTCATCCCTTTTAAAATATATTCGGAAGCAGTAACTCTCAAACTATCTGTGCTGAGTCCTCCCTAATCTCCACTGACCAATACTTTTGGTCTATATTCTGTTAAACAAGATAAGTGCACTGATCACATGCTTGGATGTCACAGCAACATCAAATTGCTTTAAAGTTTCCTGAACACTCTACTCTTGGTTCTTCTCGTGTTGCTGTGGAACAGTAAACGACAGTTCACAGACCAGCAGTGGTCCTCAGGCCTCACCAGAGTGTCTCTGACTGAAGTCTGCTGGAAGTTATCTACCACAATGGATGCTAGAGTGTTTTATATCTTTTTCTGGACCTAGAGCTCTCTATTCTCTGTCTCTCTTGTATAGGAACCTGGATGTTAACTACCATGAATTCCAATCCAAGAAGCAAAAACCTACGGCTGAGATTCAGGGATGTGAAGTGTATCCGGAACGATGATGAAGACCTGTATGAGATATACGAACCTTCAGCGTCTACGGCCATGACTACAAGGAAAATGCGTAACTCTACAGAAATCCGAGATAATGGGGATGATGCTGAATATGATTACCAGGACATACTGGCTTTGTCGCTAGGAATTAGGTCATTCAGAAATTCATCATTGAATCAGGAGGAAGATGAGTTGAATCTTACTGCTCTAGCCCTGGAGAACAGCTCTGAATTCATCCCTCCAAATACTGATACGGCCATTGGTTCAAATTCTTCTTCTCCACATAACGTTAGCAGGCTCACTGCCAATAACATTGCAGAACCTCACATGACCCCTCCTCACCCAGAAGCCACCACAGGTGGTCCCCACGTGGGACACATTAACTTAGAAAAGAACTCAGTTCTCAACCTTTCCACAGAAGAGCTTTCCAGCCCCTATTCTGAAGACCCTATAGAGGATCCTCTGCAGTCGAATGTCACGGAGATAAGCTTACTTCCACCAGGCGCAGAAGGGTTCAGAAGTCAAGAACATGCTAAACATGAGAGATTCAAGGTAGGGAGAGAACAAGCGGCAAAGCACAGGTCCTCCCCGCTGGAATTCCCAGCGCACGAAACTGGGCGCCATTTAAGCCAAGGCAACTCTTCTCCTCCCCGAATGGGGCCCTGGAAGGCCCCTCCCAGTGGCCTGTTACTCCTAAAACAAAAGACGCCATCTAGGATTCTGAATGGGAAATGGCATTTGGTTTCTGAAAAAGGGAGTTATGAGATAATCCAGGAGGCTGATGGAGACGTGGCTGGTAATGAGGTGCCAAGTGGCCCCTGGAACGCCTCCAGGGCCTGGGGAGAAGGCACCCCTCTTACAGACAAGCCTGGGCATCGGGGCAGCCACCCGAAGTCTTCTAGATTTAGATATAAATTTCCACAAGTAAGACAGGATGGAGGAAACAGTGGGTTGAAGAATGGCACTTTTTTCATTAGGACACGAAAAAAGAAAAAGGAAGAGAAGCTTGCACACTACGTTCCTTTTTCTCCAAGGGGCTTTCGTCCTCTAAGAGGAGAGGCCAACGTCACATTTTCAGACTTACTTCACGAGTCTAGTGAGACACCTTTCCCCACCAACCACAATCACACATTGCCCTCTGCGAATCTTAGCCTGGCAGCCTCACTTCCTGACCATAACCAGAACCCCCCAAACGACACCAACCACACAAGCTCCCCTCCAGATTCCTATCAGATGATGCCCCCAGAAGAGCATCATCAAACGTTCCCTATTCGAGACTCTGACCACGTGCGCTTCACTACAGACCCCAGTCACAGATCCTCTCCAGGGCCTGGCCAGACACTCGACTATGGCCTAAGAAATGAGTCCTTCCCTAGTGACATGGGAAAAATGCCCCCTTCCTTAGAACTTGAAGTCTGGCAGGCAACCATGTCTCCAGACCTCAGTCACCCATCCCTCTCCCCAGAACTCCATCAGACAACCCTCTCTCCAGACCTCGGCCAGGAGCCTCTCTCTCCAGACCTCGGCCAGGAGCCTCTCTCTCCAGACCTCGGCCAGGAGCCTCTCTCTCCAGACCTCGGCCAGGAGCCTCTCTCTCCAGACCTCGGCCAGGAGCCTCTCTCTCCAGACCTCGGCCAGGAGCCTCTCTCTCCAGACCTCGGCCAGGAGCCTCTCTCTCCAGACCTCGGCCAGGAGCCTCTCTCTCCAGACCTCGGCCAGGAGCCTCTCTCTCCAGACCTCGGCCAGGAGCCTCTCTCTCCAGACCTCGGCCAGGAGCCTCTCTCTCCAGACCTCGGCCAGGAGCCTCTCTCTCCAGACCTCGGCCAGGAGCCTCTCTCTCCAGACCTCGGCCAGGAGCCTCTCTCTCCAGACCTCGGCCAGGAGCCTCTCTCTCCAGACCTCGGCCAGGAGCCTCTCTCTCCAGACCTCGGCCAGGAGCCTCTCTCTCCAGACCTCGGCCAGGAGCCTCTCTCTCCAGACCTCGGCCAGGAGCCTCTCTCTCCAGACCTCGGCCAGGAGCCTCTCTCTCCAGACCTCGGCCAGGAGACTCTCTCTCCAGACCTCACCCAGACAACCCATTCCCCTGACTTTGGTCAGTTGCCCCTTTCCCCTGACCTCGGCCAGGAGACTCTCTCTCCAGACCTCGGCCAGGAGACTCTCTCTCCAGACCTCGGCCAGGAGACTCTCTCTCCAGACCTCGGCCAGGAGACTCTCTCTCCAGACCTCGGCCAGGAGACTCTCTCTCCAGACCTCACCCAGACGATTCGTTCCCCTGACTTTGGTCAGTTGCCCCTTTCCCCTGACCTCAGCCAGGAGACTCTCTCTCCAGACCACAGTCAGATGACTCTTCCTCCTCATCTCGGGCAGACATCACCCCCTCCAGACCCTGATCAGACACCTCATGCTTCTGAATCCAGTCAGTCATTGCCTCTTCCAGAATTTGATCCGATTTTCCCTTACCCTGACCTTGGTCAGAGGCCATCTACTCCGCTGTCTCCTACACTAAATAGCACGTTTCTACCAAGGGAGCTTAATCCACTGGTTGTGCTCGGCTTCAGCGATGATGATGGAGATTACACTGAGATCATACCAAGGGAGAAGGAAGACAGCAGCGAAGAAGACTATTTTGAAGTTGATTATGTGGCCTATGATGACCCTTACAAAACTGATATTAGGACAGACATCAACTCCTCCAGAAACCCTGACAACATTGCAGCATGGTACCTCCGCAGCAACAACGGGAACAGAAAAAATTATTACATTGCTGCCGAAGAAATATCCTGGGATTACGCAAAATTTGCACAAAGGTTTGGCTAGTTTTCTCCTTTTTATATTCTCATTTTCCACTACTGCTTAAGAACAAATAAACAAACTAACTAATTACAACAGTTCGAGGAGACAATTCTGGGCAAATTATGCTAAGTATGATTTAGTTCCCCTAACTGCAACTTGGTTTACACTGTTTCCTTTATCAGTTCCAAAATATGCATCTCTACTTTAGAGGGCATCTGGACAATACAGAAACAACCGGTGTAAGACGTCTGTGACAGTCCGTAATCAAATACGCCCTCGCCTCTCTCTTCTCCTCAGGACAAACGTTCCTGCTCCTGCCTCTCGCTCCAGTGTAGCACCCAACCTCCCCATAGCCATCCGCTAAGCAATATGATTTCACTGAAGTTAGCTTGAGATTCAAGTCTGTGATGTAGAAATCTCCTTTTGCATTTACTTGTTTACCAAATACATTTTTAAATTGTTTGCTGATCATTATAAAGCACACAGCATCCTTGGGAAGTTTAACTTAAATTCCATGAGATTCCAGTAGCAGAGGCAAAAGGATGTAAATTAGCTTAGAAACAAAAAGCAAGTTTATACCCTGAACCAAGGTAGTCATCAGATAATGATTTGCCTTGATTGATTCTTGATTTTTAACTTGGTTTATAGTCACTCATTTAATAACTCTTTGATGAGTACTTATTCTCTCCTGGACACTGTGCTAAGTGCTGGGACTATAAGAGAATATAAACGCACATGACTCCTGCCCTCATGTCTAGTTGGGAGGGTAGATATGAATAAATCATCACATAAAAGTGTAAAATGTACCCATGATAAAGACCAAGAAGGAAAGGTAGATACATGATGATATGAGGATCAGGGAATCTGACACTTGAGTTGAGATCTGAAGACGAGTAGGACCGACCTGGTCAGGAGTGGATTTTAGACAGAGAACAGCGTGATAAAGTCCCCGGGGAAGGAGGAAGCTCTTCAGCGGAGGGTGGGGCAGCTGGAGCTCAGGAAGAGGGCGGGTGGTGAGAAAGTAGTTGGCTAGCTTGGAAGAGACCAGATCACACCAGGCTTCATAGGCCATGGGAAGGATTTTGGTGTTTCTTCAAATGGCGATGACAAACCCTTCAAAAGCTTTAAGCCTTTCCTAGCTCATGGGAATACACTGGCTCCCTTCCTGGATCTTATTACCTTCACCTTGTAAATGAATGAGTTACACCCTCGAGATCCTCTTCAGCTCTAACGTTTTAGAGTTCCAGCCACTCTTCACCATAGAGTTGAAAGATTTGATACAATTTTGTAAGTGGCCTGACTCATAACAGAGAATCTCTGAGGGACTCATCTGCATTTTTAAAAGATAATGTTCAATTCATTTTGCTTAAGGGTGGAAAGCCATATTGGGCTGGGCTCTGTATTCTGGGATGACAATATTGAGAAAGAAGGGGGATATGGAACAAGGCTTAGTCAACTATAGATTCTCAGGGACATAATGTGACGACCATGCTTAAACTGTCGAAATACAGTCGACAGCTTTTATGAAAGCTAACTGTTACACTAATAAATTAAAAACCAAAGTGTAATTAGTGTAAGCAAACACGCTGCATGGTATGACTCACAGAAATTATTTTATTAATCTAATGCCTGACATTTCCACATTAGAACTCTATTTAAAACACTTTCTCCCATGACTTCCTATTTAAATGCGGCACCCACTGCAACATAAAAATAATTAGTTCATCTGAGGATTTCTGAGCAAAGCCCTAAGGGAGTTAAGACTTAGGGCCCTTCCAGAGTGGAAAGGGATGGGACTAGCTCCTTCAAGTCTGTGTCCTGTTCCAGATATGCTACCTACTTTTATGACAGTCAAGTGGCATTTATTCTCGTGTTCTGTGAGACAGTATGTTATGCTTCGAGTTTGGAAGGATGAGGATAGTACGGTAGAAAGGTTGGAAAGCAGGCAGAATGGGATTCTCTGTTGCTGGCTTGTGGCGTATAGCAAATGCTAAGAGATTGATGGATGAGCTTTTGGCCTGTTTCCATAGGCTTGGGAAATTTAAGAGTCAGTGGGAAACTCTGACACACTCTGGCCCCAGACTGAGCAGCTGGTGAACTACATGAGGAATAATGTGATTCAGCAAAAGGAAATGTGAGAAGGGTGGCTATTTTCAGAGTAGAAAATACCCATCCATCCGGTGGCCTTCACAGAGATGGTTTAAGTCAGCTGTCCATTGTCGCCTAGCAGCCCCAAGCTCTGCCACTGTCCCACTGCATGGCTCTGTCTGCTTTGATATTAAAATCTGCTATGTTAATGTATGATTATATTTGCTTACTCATTAATGCATTAAACAAAAATTTATTAAGTGCCTGCTATGTACCAGATAACCTGGTAGGCCCTGAGAATACAATTACGAGCAAATTTTACACAATCCCCCATTTTACAGGGCTTTCACTCTAGTGGCAGAGTCAGTTATTAATAAATAATCTACACATAATTTCCTACATTTACTCTAGAAATACTATAAGACTACTATGGGAATTTACTATACATATATGTTTACATATATACATATATACATTTATATGTGTATGTATATATATAAATGTGCATATATACATACATATACGGTAATACTGTAGAAAAGCAGGAAAGCTATAGAGAGATCTAACCTAGTCTAAGGGATCAGAGGAGGTACTTAAGAAATGATAATGTGAGCTGGGAGTTGGAAGATATTTACTGGCTTGTATTTTTAGTCATTTATATTTTCATTCATTTTTTTCATCAAATATTTATTAAAGATCTTCTCTATGCTATATGCTATATTCAGGAAACACTGTTCAGATAATTTCCTAAATTGAATAGTCTTTAACTTGTTCTTTTGAACAGATACTATTATTATCGTTTCAGTGAACTGGACGATGAAGACAGCACTGTTCCAAAGGACACCGTGTACAAGAAAGTGGTGTTTCGACAGTACCTTGATAGCACTTTTACCAGACGTGACCCCCGGGGGGAGTATGAAGAGCATCTTGGCATTCTTGGTCCTGTTATTAGAGCTGAAGTGGACGATGTTATCCAAGTAAGCATCCCCTCGGCACTGGTGAGATCGGCAGAGGAATTCCCACAAGCACCATGGGGTGGTAAAGGTCAAGGTGGCAAGAGAGAGCTATAGGTGATTTATTTATTTTCCAAACTTAAAAATAATTTTAAAAAATTCTTCTCAAAGATTGCTTGCCAAGTAATTTGGCAATCTTCAAGAAAAATAAATGATCTCGTAGTTTTATTTCTCCCTCTGCTAAGCTCTCGCTCATTCTATAAGGGCCAATTCCATTTCCCCTAAGAAACTTTCTTTGACATCCCAAGTGTCTCCTAAACATTCAGCCAATTGCCCCGCCACCCCAGGCTCGCCCATCTAACCCTGCTCACGCTCGGTTTACAGCACCTTTTGTCTCCAGATTTTCACCCTGAGTTCACGTGTACATGTCCCTTGTCAGCAGCAGATTGAAAGCTTGTCGTGAACAAGACCCAAGCCCGATGCACCTTCAGAACTGCAGCACTTACCATTGTCAATTGATTTGTAGATCATGTCAGTACTTTTGCTTTGGGGCTAAGAACAAACATGTTTTGGTGTTTCTGGGGAAAGTTATTTGGGTCCTATCTTACAGGACGGTGGTAAAAATGGGATGGAATAACATACATAAGTAACTATGCAATTGTAGGCATTCGCTCTATCTCGGGTCTCATTTAACAGCCCTTCACTCTGGACTTTAATGCTGACATTTTTTAGTTTGGATTTTTGTTAAGCTTAAGGACATTTGTAGATTATTGATTTTTCTAGGTTCGGTTTAAAAATTTGGCATCCAGACCATATTCTCTTCATGCCCATGGGCTTTCCTATGAAAAATCATCAGAGGGAAAGACTTATGAAGATGACTCTCCCGAATGGTTTAAAGAAGACAACGCCATTCAGCCAAACGGCAGTTACACATACGTGTGGCACGCCACTGGCCGGTCAGGGCCAGAAAACCCTGGCTCCGCCTGTCGGGCCTGGGCCTACTACTCAGCAGTGAACCCGGTAGGTACAGCCATCCCAAGTTTCCACCAAGTGGAAGGGTCAAGATTGTTTCTTGTTAAATGTCTGTCTTGTCATCCATGAGAATGTGTAAGGACGGTGGTCAACCGTCTGCAGCGACCACAGCCAGGGACTCTCGCTGCAGGTCTACAAATGACAGTGAGAGAGAAACGTTTGTTCAGTGACATGAGTAAAGATTACTGAAACAGCTGGCTCGAGTTACAGTGACCACCTTTACAGAGAAAGACATTTATCTGTACTTTCTTTATTCAAGTATTAGCTTTCTTCTGCTCTTTCTCTGTGAAAGAACTGCAAAATCAAGACTCCTTCATTTCGAGCGTAGTAGGGAGAGCACGAACATCGATTTTAATTCCTATCCTGTCACTTACCATGTGGCCCTAGGAAAGTTATTGGACCACTCTTGGCCTCAGTTTCTAAAGTTAAAAATGAAATAACAACAGTATATAGCACATAGTAGGCACTTGGTAATATTTGTTTACTAAATGAATTCTTTTTTACCATGTGGGATTGTTGGTATTAAATAAGAAGCTATAGGCAAAATATTTAATATAGTAGTAGCTGCTCAATAGTATTTGTTATACTATCAATATTATTTTCATCATTATCAGTACTACCATGTTGAGATAAACGATTAATCAGAGAAAGGAAATATGAATGCCATAAAATGAGATGACAAATGTCTAGCCTTCTTAAGCTACTCATTTATAATTTTCACATTGAGAGCTTCTAAGAAGGGTTCCTTTTCTATGTGATCAGAGATTGTCAGAAAGGCAAAGAAAATTCTAAGAATGAACATGTGCACTTGGCCCCTCCTTTCTCCCAGGTCAAGGACATCCATTCGGGCTTGATAGGCCCCCTTCTGATCTGCCGGAGAGGTACACTGCATAAGGAGAGCAACATGCCTGTGGACATGCGAGAATTTGTCCTGCTCTTCATGGTCTTTGATGAAAAGAAGAGCTGGTACTATGAAAAGAAGCCCCAGAGGTCTTGGAGACGTGTGTCCTTGGAAGTAAAACAGTCTCATGAGTTTCATGGTATATTCCTCTGACTTTAATATAATCTCTGAACTAAACCACACCGGGTTACGGAGGTGTCTGCCCTTAGGTCTCCACAAGATTAGACATGAGATGCTTCTGAGGAAATAGGAACTATAACTCAAACTAGGTCCTTAAATATCTCAGAGGGCTGATGGAACCCAGCGGGTGACACTGCAGGTGAAGGAGAGAAGAGAAAGTCTGAAAGACACAGAGGCTGCTGCAAAACGAACCCAAACAAACCAACAACTACAAAAAGCCAGCGTGCTGTAGTTACACATAAATTGAAAAGGAATTAGCATTATTCTGCAATTCAAGTAGTTAATAAACCTGTTTCTTGACCTCTAAAGGAAAATTATTTCTATCAAAGTGATTATCCATTATTGATTATTCTAAAAGAGGAATGACTTTTTTAACAGTTTTAGCTTTCAGCAATTCCAAGGTGGAACCAAAAGCATATGAGAATAAAATGGGTAGCCAGAATGATCTCAACTCCTCTCCTCCCAAAAATTCACTTGCTTGGTTCCTGATATTCCACAGCAGATCCTTTAATTTGAGAATAATAAACAATAAAACTTCCCTCACTTCAGTCTCCCAGTTAAATGCATGGTAGCACTAAGCTTTATCATTAAAATTTGTATTTTTCAAGGTGATCAAATTTACCAGGCACTTTAAACACACATACACACAGTTCTGAAGGGAGAGTGGATAAGGTCAAAGAACCCTTGACATCCAAGCTGGTAAGGGGCAGAGCAGCTATCCCATGAATGACAGAACAAACACGAATCAAGATGGCTGTAGGCACAACAAAGATGAAGTCCAACCTCCTAATTTTGCCTGGAACTACCTCTGAATTTAGGAGGCCTTTAGGGTGACATGCTGCATATCCCCTTACTTGCTCTCTTTTCCCTTATCTGGCTCATATTAGTCTTTATCTTTTTGTAGCAAAGGGAAATTTGTACTATAAATGGAAAGGATAATAGGTAAAGCACAGAGCAGGAGCAGTGGAAACCCTGGGGAAAAGAGTGGTAAACTGCCAGGAAAAGGAGCTTTCTGCCGCAGGCTGGTGTGAGGAGGAGCTGGTGGTTCTCACTGATGTTATGACACATGGGGGCCCTGGGTGGGCCTGGCATGTGGCATCATAAGGAAGCTGCGTGGTGAGTGGGACCCTCCTATGTCCTTACCAGCCTCTCTGTTTAATTGATTGTAATTCTCTGTCCTTTCAGCCATTAACGGGATGATCTACAACTTGCCTGGCCTGAGAATGTACGAGCA